TATATATATATATATATATATATATATATATATATATATATATATATATATATATATATATATATATATATATATATATATATATATATATATATATATATATATATATATATACACAATATAACTTTTCTTTACATTACAATTAAAGGAGTTTTAATTAATGGTAAAACATTAAGAACTAGAGATAAAGAGAAAATAAAAACATTCATTTATTTAAAATAAAAAATAAATTAAATATAAAATATATCAGTAATAAAACAAAGTTATGTATATGAACCTTTACTATTAATGTATTACCATCAAAAGATTCAATTTAACCTTTTTTAACTAAATGTAATTATTTCTTCCTTTCAGAGTTTCTTTTGTTAAAAAACTAAGGTTAACTAGGGGAGGTGGGATAATTTATATAATATAAATAAAAACAAAATTATTGAGGTCATATCTTATATTAAACAAACTTAGAATGTATACAACTAAATGCATTTATCAATTAAATATTTTATATTTGTTACATTAATTAATTTAATACACTAACTAATTAAGTTTTATACCACTTCAATTAAAATTTATATTTATCAACACTGCTCCTTAGTTACTTTTCAATATAAAGGTGATTTTTCTGATCAGTTTCTTATGAACACTTGAAATAGTCAAAGATTATGCTTCAATTAAGGAGTTGAAGTTGTATTTATGGTCTTTCTTTGGGAATATATTATATCAATTAATTTAATATAACATATTTTTAAATAATAGTTTTTATTAATAAAGTTTATTTTTAAATTAATATTTATATAAATTTATTTCTCTTCAATCATATATAAATGATAAATAAAATTTATTATATTGACAAAAGTATAGAAAATTTAACTTCTAATAACACTTTAGCTATTTATCAATTATAACAATATTAAATTTATGGTAAACTGTGTAAAAAAATTATAATATGATATTTTAAACTTGCATAAAGATTTACATCATATACTTTAAATGCAAATAACAGTTGAAAAAGCACAAATAAACATGTTATTTGGATGTAAAGTAATATAGTCATTAATGTTAAGCCCACAATCATCACAAAAGTCCATCCAATCATTGCTTATCATAAATTCCTTCCGGCCACTCCATTGAAGTTTAAATGTCTCTCCTATAAAAGCAAAAAGAATCATTAATAAAACAGTTAATACTCACTTAAAATTATATATCACTATCACCACAAGTCACATCCACTATATGTTTTGTATATCCAAGCATTGTAAGCCCCAACTTTTTTTTATACTCTACACAAAAAAAAAGAGGCATTAGAATATAAATTGCAAAAATATATACAAACTTACTAGTATGAACTGATATGAACAAAGGTGCATGGGCGAAAGTTTCACCACCAATGCATTGTCACCAAGAAACTGAGCAAATTGCTCAGCTAAATGCTTGTGCCTTCCACAACCACGTCCATCCCAAGACTTCATAACTAGAAAAGAAAAAGTTATAAAGGTAATCAACACAAATTAAATGTACTTTTGCCCTTGAAATGCAAGCTGAATGTAGAATATCCCACTTGCGACGCTCTTTCACTGCCTGCTAGCTGCTACGTGCTGGGCGATCAGTGCTGCGCTCGCTGCTGCCAAAGAAATGCTGAAATGCTCGCGCCCTCAATCACACAGCTGCCTGCAATCGCTCTTTGCACCCTCCCCGCAAGAATCAATCACTAAACCCAAACAAGAGCGCCAATGGAACTTGTGAAATGGGTGAAGCTTCTTGTACACGAATGAATTGTCACTCACTCTCCAAACCCTGAAGCCAAAAACAAAGATTTTTCTTGTGGTACGTCACCCTATTTTGCTTGGTTTTGTCGTTCCCAGAAAGAGGAATCGGAGAGAATTGCTGGAATAAGCGTCCAGTATGCTCCCGTGAGCGCAGAGCCGATAAATAACGAGGATATCACTGGAATTTAGCCTCTACTGGGTAAGCAAAAGAGTTTCCTTGTAGGCTGTTGCTCTTGTGGCTCCAGAGTATGGCATCAGAAAAAGCGTTCGGCATAGTTCTCCTGGAGATCATCACTGGCCGCAGAGTGATTGCCTGGTGGAATGGGTGAGTAATCACTATGACACGGTAGAACTTTTACCTCCTCTTTTTCACCAGGCTCGTCCAAAGCTTGAAATATGAGACGCGAAGTCACTGCTGGACCCCGAGGCTTGGGACTGACGTTGACGAATACCAAATTCAGCTCATGATTCATGCTGCCTGCAAGACGACCCGTCGCGAAGACTGAGCATCGTTCAGGTCAGTAAAAACATGAAAATTCCATAGCTCACCAGCTTTTGCAGATTTTGCGTGCTCTTATCAGCGAAAACAAAGAAGTAAAAAGCTAGAAATCACAAGCTGCTCGGCAAGGTTTAGGACCCTCTTTTTGTTTAATGTCTGGTCTGGAACTTAGCTTTTAAACCTCGACAAACTTTCAAGAAGATCGCAAGTTCCAGCCTCGTCCTTGACATGTTCTTGAGACGGGCGCAGTAAAAAAGAGGTCTGTATTCCTCTTGGGGGCATTTCGCACTCTTTTTTGCCTTGGCAACAACATCAGGAAGAAGCCCTTTCATGACAAATCCTACATTGTGGACATAGTCCCCTGCCTCCTGTTTGGTCACAGAGATATATAGAAGAGCACAAAAAGAACGATCCGCGGCTCGCTAGTGCAAACGAGGCAGCTCCAACGATCCCCAGCACTGCGATTCCAGATCCGAAGTCCGGTGTGGGTCACCAAATGCAGGTTCTTCCGGCCTAAAATTGAGCTCTAGATAGCAAGAACCACTTTTCTAAGCAAAGAACAAAGAATGGATTCCAGCCTCGCCGCCACAGTGCGCTCGATCGAGCTCTAGCCCGGGTATTGCACGGCGAAAACTGGTGTTTGCTCATTTCTTCTCCGATTACGATAAATGTTTTTAGTATCTTGTTAAGCCATAAGATCTCATAAGGTTTGCGTGATTCGAGATCCTGAAACTCCTTAGTCAGCTCCTTTTCAAGAATGAGCCTTGACAGCATCCAGTTTCCAACAGAGAACTCTATCACCATACAAAATCCTTGCCATCCCAGAGATCACCCTCGTGTAACGCAGACAATCTTGCTCGTCTGTGAGCTTTTTGAAGGTAGTAAACGTGTAAGTTACCTGGGAACGAGAACGTAAAAGATAAAAGAGAGGCAACAGTTTCGAATTAATGCTGTAGCAACGAAGGAACAAAAAAGCTTTCCGAACCTGTTATCGTGGGTATAACCATAATTCGACTCTTCCCTACTGGTTTGACTCTAGATTCCTCGGTATGTATTGTTTTTAGAGCCAATGACTCAGCTTCAAGCATTCACTCCAGTCTTACCCCAGCAGGATTTGAAAGCAATGCTCAGGGTGAGAAATGCACAAGAAATTAGACTTGGCAGAGATCGAGGAAGCAACTCACAGCTTCTCACAAGCAAACTTTTTGTCTGGAGGAGGATTTAGCCATGTGTTCAAAGGCATACTAGCAAGAATCAATCACTAAACCCACAATCAAGAGCGCGGGATGGAATCTGATAGAGCTTCTTGTAGCAAAAACGAAGATTTTTCTTGTGACGTACTGGGCCACTTCTATTTTACTTGGTTTTTGTGGTAGGCTCGTTTTGTTCCCAGAAAGAGGAGGAAGCTGGCGGCGGCTCCAACCAAGCTAACGAGAGAGAGTGCTACCAAGCCAAAGCCAAAGCATTTGGAGCCATAACAATTGTTAAGATCGTCACCGCCGGCTGGCACACTGGCTCCACCACTTTTCTGACGATACAATGCGGCTTCCTCGTCGTAGAGGGATCCCATCACTTTGGCTGACAGGATGTATGATCCAAGAGGCGGACCAAGCCTGGGTAACAAAGCGTGTAAGAGAGAGAGAGTTTCCATAGGGACTTACGAGACGAGCTTGTAGAGGACTGTGAAGTTCTGGACGCCAAACACCTCGGATAGAATTGCTGGAATAAGCGTCCAGTATGCTCCATATGAAAGTCCCGTGAGCGCAGAGCCGATAAATAACGAGGATATCACTGCAAAACCCAAAAGAGTTGTCTGTTTAGATAAACGAGCTCAGTCTGAACTTACATCCAGTAGCAAGAAGCAAACAACACAGAGCCATGATCATCTGATCAATGAGAAGGCACAGAGTTCGCGGATAGCCACGCCGCATCAAAAGATCCGACCCATACCTGCAAAGACATAGCATGAAGAGTAGTTTTTTATGAGGAAATAAAGTACCCCGATCCGAGTCGACCAAAACAACTCCAGACGCTGATCAGACCAACATAAATATCAGTTCCTCCAGCTCTAAGTGACTTTCCTATCTGCGAAACAAAGAACTAATAATGAATGAAGAGCTCAAGAAACAGAAAATGACCTGAGCAAGGTTGTTGATTATTGCCACACCAGTTCCTGCTCCAATCGTCACGACAAGGAAAACCAACCTTGTTGGAGCAGACTTCGTTCGTTAAGTTGAAGTTTTGATATGAACTGTTTGTTTACCAGAAATTGAAGTCCGCGAGAGCGTCTTTGAGTGTAGTGTGACCAGTAGAAGCTGCGGCTGGGGTGGCAATCTGGCTGTGTGTCAAAACTTGAGAAGGGTCGGCCCCCGTTTTTAAGAGATTTAATCTTTCTTCTTCAGCGTCTTGAAGATCATATGCCTTTGTTTCTAGCTTTGGAAGATCAATGCCTTCAGAAGACGGCGGGAAAAACTTCCTAGGAAATCGAATCAGCTGTGGTATCGCAATTCAATGGAGTCAGATTCGTAGGTGATACACCGATGACTTAACTGGGATAGTGTACATTATTAGCATGATTGATAGCATGATAGTAATTGTCATAAGTTGTAAGAGCTTGCTTTCTTTAAAATATTCCTGCGGTAGTGGAATTTTATTTTTTTTTCTTGAAGAGTAAAGTTTTGTACCTTTGAAGCCAATGAAACCATCATAAAAATTCCAAGCACGAGAACGGTGATCTGCAGAACATGACTTAACACAAAACTATCACATGGGATTGACTTACAAATGCCATCTTGAAACGAGGAGGAGCCGATGGATCTTCATCCTCTGTGTGATCGAAAGGCCTGACAAAAAACGCCAGCAAAACATAGGCCAGTGTAGGAACCAGTGACATAAGCAGTAAGAACTGATTCACATTTGGCTCAAGAAACACCTCGTAAATCTAGAAACACCAATAAGAGATTACTTTTTCGAAATGTATCATGGCTTTCTTACCATGACAAATATCGCCCCGCTAAGACCAAGCTGTGCTTTCAATATCCCCATCGCCGTCCCTCTTTGCTCTTCGTAGTTCTGCAAGCTAAGAGAGCTCGATAAGATCATAAGAAACACCATGTTGTGTACCTTGTCATCATGCAGGCTGTGTCAATCCAGTTATCTCCTCCATTCCCCACGGCAGAATACATGCACAACTTTCTTTCCAGGGAAACAAGAAACTCATCAGGACAAATTTTAAAAGTACGAAACACGCAAAACATACCAGCCAGAACGAAGGGGCAACCTTGCCTGCTACAGTCATCCAAACCTACAAAATCCAGGAAATTGAGAAACGTGAAAGGATGGAGAACAGTTAGTGACCATTGTGTAGCCAAAGAAATGCAAGGCAGCTCCAATTCCTATCGTCACCCAGGGAGGATACATATTGTAGAAAAGTCCGGAAAGAACTCCCACAACTCCTCCCAGATCTTTGGCAGCACCGATATCATCGACATCTTCCTGTGAAAAATGTAACCTTTGCTTCATATGCTCGCTGTAAACAGCATACGTGTATGTCAATCCGGCACAGCCCTGTATATGCAGACAAAATATAACACAAAATAAGAGCTTAACTTCTAGTAAGATCGATTACCATCATTATCATCGCTGCCGAGAGGCCTAGCCATCGATCTAGACGAGGAACACAGAAAATCGTCATTCGGTTCTCTAGAGGGAGTTTCTGCGAGTACTCAACCAAAAAATTAGGAATGAGATGAAAGAAATCTTACCGTAGAGCTGGAAGAACATCAGATCTTTGATCTGGAGCAGCGCATTGCTGCTAGCGTGCCAAGGTACCGTCAGACCTTAGGGCCGTTGCCGTCGCATTCTCGCCGGCGCCGACGAGGGCTTCAAAGCCTTCCAAAATTTTCCACGCATACGTGGCTCCCGTACTTATCTTGAAAAGCCTGGAGTGTTTAAACAAATATCCAGGGATCTTTCGCATATCCATCTTCGATTTTTGCACAATCCGTTGTCTATGATTTAAAAGCTGTAGAGAAAACAAAGAACGAAAGTAAGTGACAATGGAAGAACAAGAAGAAGCGATGGCTTATGGTGTTGTGATAATCTTCGACACCTTGAGAGAGCTCTCTGACGCTGCTGTGTTGTGGACCTTGGATCGAGTTGTCCAGCCAGGAACTCTCGTCACTCTTCTTGGCATACTCCACGAAGTTCTCACACCAAGTAAGAATGAGGAGGCGTTTCTGAAAGCTTTGATTTCTAAGTTTAGTTCTCCTTCCGCAAATAAATGTACCTTGTTTTGTCGTAGTGGGATATAGATCCAAGGTAGACTTCACATCGTTCAATGGAGTAAATGTCAAATCTCTCGAGGAGGAAGCAACAAAGACGGGAAGGTACTACAGGTTGAAGTCAGATGATTTTTTCAGCGCCTGCAAAGTTAAAAAGGCAAAGTCACACTAGCAAAGGAAAAATCGATTTGATACCGATATCTTTGTAGGTGAAACTGGAAGTGAAGATTGTTGCCGGCAGTCCCTTGAATGTCGTAGCAGTGAGCGAAACAAGGAAGCTTCAAGCCTCGTGGGTGATATTGGACAAGTAAACTTATCCAGTTTTCCTTTTTTCTTTTGCAAACGCTGTGTTTTGCTTATCTTAGGAACCTAAAACGATACGAGAGATACTTATCAGAGCATCTAGCGTGTAATATCGTGCTTATGAACCGTAACAACGAAGGAAGAATTGTAAAGCTTTCCGAACCTGTTATCGTGGGACCATCATTCGAGCTCCGCAAACTCTCCTCTGCCGGTTTGACTCCCTTTTCCTCGGCAAACAATGGTATGTATGAACATATTTGTTAGTTTTTAGAGCAAATGGCTTACCTTCAGGTGTTCACTCCAGTCTTATCCCAGCAGGATTTCGATAAGCGATGCTCAGGGTGTTACTGTAAGACAAGAAATGCACAAGAAATTAGAGAGTTTAAACTTGCAGAGATCGAGGAAGCAACTCACAGCTTCTCGCAAGCCAACTTTTTGTCTGAAGGAGGATTTGGCAATGTGTTTAAAGGCATTCTACTGGAACAAGGACTCGAAGTCGCTGTGAAAAGGCACAAGCTTAAAAGCACACAAGGAGATAAGGAGTTTTTTGCAGAAATAAAAGTTCTCTCACACACAAACCATGAAAACGTTGTCAGCTTGGTCGGATACTGCACTGAAAATGGTCAGAGAATCCTAGTTTATGAATACGTCTGCGATGGTACACTGGCTTGGCACCTCTCCGGTAAGCTCTACTCTTAATTCTTATAACATCCACTAAAACCTTCACAGCAAAAAACTCTACTGTGCTTTCATGGCCTGCAAGGCATACCATTGCTGTGGGTATTGCCAAAGCACTACGCTACCTTCACCACGAATGCACACAAGGCAGAGTTATCCACAGAGACATACGGCCACACAACATACTTTTAAGACATGACTTTACTCCAGTTGTGAGCTTCCGAGAGTAGAGACATTAGAGACATCTAATGACACGATGAGTTTCCACAGGTCGGAGACTTTGGACTTGCAAAATGGGAAAATGACTCGGCGGCACCGGAGACGACTCTAGTAGCAGCTACTGGGTAAGCAAAGCGGTTTTTTTGTAGGCTGCTGCTCTAAACTAAATGTGAAAAATGGCAAACATGGCATACCTGGACATTCAAAGGTATGTGGCTCCAGAGTATGGAGCAACTGGCGTGGCAACAGAAAAAGCCGATGTTTATTCCTTCGGCATAGTTCTGTTGGAGATTATCACTGGCCGCAGAGCGATTGATTTGTCTTGCGAGCAGACGAGCCTGGTAGAATGGGTGAGTATTCGCTACTGCATGCTAGAGCTTTTACCTGATCTTTTTCACCAGGCTCGTCCAAAGCTTGAAGTTAGAGACGCGAAGTCACTGCTGGACCCGAGGCTTGGGACTGACGTCGACGAATACCAAATACAGTGCATGATTCATGCTGCCGCGTTTTGCCTGCAAGAAGACCCGTCGCGAAGGCTGAGGATCAATCAGGTCAGTAAAAACATCAAAACTCGGTAGCTCACCAGCTTGTGCAGATTTTGCGTGTTCTTGTAAGTGAAAACGAAGAAGTAGGAAGCTAGAATGACAAGCTGCTCGAGACAAACATCTCTGGAACTTAGCTTTTAAAGCTCGAAAAACTTTCAAGAAGATCGTAAGTTCCAGCCTCTTCCTTGACACTCGAGACATGTTCTTGAGCCGGAACAAGCCACGCAGTACTTCCACTTATTTGGCAACCTGTTCATATCAATTCGTAAGTATAGAAAAAACAAGAGGCAGCGAGTTTACCCGGCTGTATTCCTCTTTGCGGCATTCGCACTCTTTTTTGCCTTGGCAGCAACATCAGGAAGAAGCTCTTTCATGACAAATCCTTGTCCACTACATTGTGGGCATAGTCCCGTGCCACTACAAGCTCCACAATCCTCCTGTTTAGACAACAAAGATTTATAGAATCGCAAAAAATCGTACTAGAAGTAGAACGAACCCTCGTTTGATCCGCAGCTCCCTTTTGCAATCTCGCCAATGCAAACGAGGCAGCTCCAACGATTCCCAGCACTGCGATTCCCGACGCCACATCTTCAAGAGCCGCGACGATAACACGATGGCGCTTTCGAGGCCTGGCTTCGACCAAACCACGAGAAGGAGAAGCGCTGCGAGGAGAAAATACTTCCTTTGATTGAAATCCATGAAATTTCACCTGCAATCCTTGATCGCCAGGGCGCATCCCTCCAACAAAGCGAAGATTGCAAGACGCCATCGCTAAGATGAAAGCCCTAAAGTTTTGAAATGAACGGGTTGATTTAAACCACTGCCATGGACGGCCTGGATTGTTTTCTTTCTAACGATTAAGAGAGCATTCCACGTCAGCTTCTAAGTTAGGGTTTATACAAGATTTTGAGAATGGCGCCCGTGGTGAAGGGGAGCGTGAGCGGCGTCTTGCCGGAGCGCCGGGTTTTTGCCGTGCAATACCCGGGCTATCCGAGCTCGATTGACCGCGCTGTGGAAACGCTGGGCGGCGAGGCTGGAATCGCCAAGGTAACTCCCCCTGCCGTTCTTGCTCTTTGCTTAGGAAAGTGGTTCTTAAGGTCCGGGCATCGGATGCTGGCTATCTAGAGCTCAAATTTAGGCCGGAAGATCCTTATTCGCACCCTGCATTTGGTGAGCCACACCGGACTTCGGATCTTTTGCTTCGAATTTCCGCGCCGAAGCAAGGAGATGAGAGGAACTCAGCAGATTCGCGGGAGCTTGATGCCGAGATAATTGCTCATGTGGAAGATTCTTACGTCTTTGATGGTGAGCGCTGTTCTAAAAGTTTTTTCTTCCCATCTCATTTTTCCTGTAGGGATGGCGGACTATCAATATGTTCTTGCGGTGCATTCGAATGGTTCCAGCGAGAAGAAATCCAAGCAGACTAAACAGCGCTTTGGTATGCTTTCTTTTTTCTGCAAAAAGATTTTTTCATGAAGATCACTGAACTGAAGACAAAGGAAGCTTGATGGACATGGAAGAGGAGGACCTCATGATTCTTGTTCCTCCACTATTCTCGATAAAGGACATGCCAGAGGAGACTTTGTAAGTTAGATCCATTGCTTTGATTGTGAAGCTGAGTTTTTATCATTCTTTAGGCTACGCCCATCAGATCGCTCGAAAGCGAAGCCAGTCGAAAATCCGGTACGTCTTTTTTCTTTGCTGTTTGTACGTTCTGAGAATATGGTTTTTGGCAGATGGATTTTACACCTTGCTTTGGTCTCGACTTCAAAGCAAAAGATATCCTTTTCTTGAGCTTTTTTTTTTTTTTCTGTCTTTGAGTTTTGACTTGACTTACCACACATGTTCCCAAGGCAGTGAACTGGGAGGTCAAGCTAGTGAAGGATTCAGAAGAATGGTCTTTACACAAGGCCATGGTGAAATGTTTTGAAGAGCGACCAATATGGGTGAAAACAACACTCGTCCAGAAATTGCACGATCAAGGTTTGGAGCCGACACCTTCAATGCTAAAACGGTAGAGTTGAATGGTCGCACTTACGCCTCTTTAACTCTGCAGTTTGTTGGTTGTAGGCTCTTGTTTAGACTTGCATACAATTTTCTTTATGGTCCGTTTAGAACACTGTGGATAAAAAACGGCTACGATCCACGAAAAGATCCAGCATCACGGAAGTATGTTTTAGCGACCTTGTTGCGAGAGCTAATAGTTTGGTTTGCTCAGGTACCAAATGCTGGACTTTAGAGTGCCGAGGTTGCTGAGGTACTCTGTACAGCAAGCTCCTAGACGAGAGTAAGCATTCAAATATATAAACTTGTGCTTTCTTATTCTGAAATTGACGCAGGGCGGAGAATACTTTTTGGAGAGACGAGTGTGCATTTAAGGTGGTCCCGCAAAAGAAATTCTCTTTTTTCCAACTCTACGATTTGCAAGACGATTTCATCAAGTCTCAGATCGAGAAGCCGCCAGAACGCAATACTTGTAGTGTGAGTAGTGTGAGTGTTTTCAATGCTTGGTCTAATTGTTTGTTCTGCAGGAATCTACTGGATGGTTTCGACGGGGCACGTTGGAAAGGATGCGGCAGCACGTACGTCTACGTTTCCTCGCCTTGATACCGGGGGATGCTGCTAGAGCTCTAGAGGAAACAGAAACTAAGAATTTTGAAAGGTTTAAGAACAAGGCTGGATGGAGGGGCGGAAACAGGGGGGCTCTCAGACATATTGACAAAAGCATTGACACAATGGACGACCCTGGTTTGTTTCCAGAGCCATTGTTCGCAGGTTTTAGCAGTTTTCTCTACTGCCTTTGCACTTTGTGACTGACTGCTGGTTTACAGAAGGTGACATAGCAGAAACTCCTCATGGCTCGGAGACAACCAACGCAGGAAAGCAGCCGGAAGTGCTGACTGGGGACGATGACGAGGACGACGAAGAGGAAGAAGAAGACGACGAAGCGAGGGCGGATGAGGAAGACGAAGAAGATGAAGAGTCTGAAGAGGATGAAGACAATCTACAAAACAAGGTAGCTTTTCAAAATGCGATCTTGATTTCCCACTCAACTTGGTGGTGGTGTGCAGAGCAAACCACAAACCTTTCCAAGTGAGGTTCCAACACGTATCCTATTTTGCAAATCTGTACATTTGTTTCTTTGACATTGGCTCAGATCCGTCGCATGACATCCCGAAGAACTACTTGCAAGCTCTGCTTGAGAAATTCCCCCAGGGCCAGAAGGCGGGCGAGACAGACGAGGACACCGAGTACACCATCTACGAGCAAGAAGAAGACGACGAAGGGACGTTCTGATGAGCCACAGGTCCACATACAAGAGTTCTGCTATTGTGACGTCCTTAACTTTTGCCTGCAAAACAGTCAGAAGGCTCGACCAGCTAACACACTTTTTTTATTCAGAGTCCCACTTTGGAAAACGTAACGATCAAAGTTTTGGGAAGATTTAAAATGGAGCACAGCACCGGTTCTCCAAATCCAGAAATTGGATCCTGAGGAGAAGTTGTTGCAGAGACAATGGATGGCGTTTGCAAAGACTCGCAAGAGCCGAGTTGCAAACTGGGAGAGCATGGATTGAGACTAATGATAGATCCAAACTGATGATTTTCTCAAGAAGAGCGTAGAAACAATCAGTAACGTAATTAGCTAGTATAGCACACTTGCCTTTGTACCAGGGTGACCACTTTTTCCACCTCTTTAAGTTCTTGAGAAATGTTTGAGGTTTTAATTTGAGTTGATTCTTATAAATTAACTCCTAGTTAGTTTTATTTTATTATGTTTATAAAATTATATTTATAAATTTAAAATTGTGAGGGCCAAGCTGTATTCCTCACAAAATTAATTAATTTCACCATAAATATAAATTTAAAAATTTATTTATTTATTTATTTTGTAATAATAAATTTAATTATCATATAAAATATGAATTGCAAAAACATAGGAACATTATTATTACCGAAATTCAAATTTGCAAAAGCTCAGCTATTAATTTTTAAATGTTCAAGAACACACTCAGTTATTTTAACTAATATCATTAATATATTAACATCTAAAGCAGTACGATAAATTTCACTTATAAAATCTATCTAGAATATGATTGTGTTGCCTATAACATTGAGATATATTGAACAGGTTTTAGGTTACAAATGTAAATTATAATAGTATACTCTATAAGTGATATGTATTATAATTATTTTTAAAATGATTAAAAAATCATTAACGTGATTAATATTTAATCATTAAATATGTCTCATTAATTCATTTACTGTTAGAAGAAACTAATAAAATTATGTTATGTATAAAATGGTAATCATTACTATGGGAGTTTTGCACCCACTATTAAATTAGTTAATTTAATGTTAAAGTGGTCACACTATTAAAATAGATTTTGCAAACTCTAATTTAATATTTTAATATAATGATAACTTGTTCAAACAGGCTAATGTTAGAATTTTAATTTTTAAATGATATTCTATAAGACTTATAAATTGTACTCAATTGGAGGCCCTTTTAATTTCTGAAACAAATTAGTAAATGTGAACAACCTAAGAGAAAAGAATGACTTGAAGATAATCTGTAAGGGTTTATATATATAAGGAAATGGCTTATAAATAAAAGGGCATTTTTTTTTTCTAATCAATTAAAAGTTTTAGGATTTAAGTTGGATGACCTCCCACAAAATCTAAATTCAACATATTATAATAAAGTGTTCAATTAATCAATTTGAGGAGAACAATCAATCAAATTGCCAAGCAAAGAAGAGGTGTGAGGAGAGGATTTGCAGCACATTTCAAGCAATAAGTGGTTAATTTAATCTAGTTAATTTAATAGTTTTGAGAACCATTTATTATTAATTTAATTTTTTTTAACAATATTAAATAATTTTAATATAAAATAACATTTGTAAGGTTTGTAAATACATATATATCTAAACCTGTATTACTTTGGCTAGGTAATACACTAATTATAATACTATAGCATATGAACTGTCCATTTAGAAATAAATCTAGTCTATCCATTTTTGTATATAACTATTAAACCCCAATTAATATATTTATTCCTTTATCCTAAGCACCCATATTGGTGGAATTACAATTTCTCCCTAAAAGGTAAATGTTTTTGGCAATGCTTTATTCTAGTATTCAAGATTGTATTTTTTGTTTTTATTTCTTCATTCTCTTTTAGATCTAGATTTGTATTAGCTTTTTGCAAGATCTAGAATTTTAGTTATCACTATACTTAGATCTAATCTTTCTTTTTATCTGCATTCTATTTTGTCTTTTACTATGCCACATTATCATTAATCAAAGAATATATCACTTAAGGCTATTAATGTTATTCCGTTGGATCAAACTTTTAGTGCTATAAGGTGTGATCATATTAGTGTTGCACCCATCTTTGGTGTGTTGCCATCTCCAACTTCCGTGGGACATCATTACATAGTTTATCATATTCTTGGTGTTTTGCCATCTCCCCTTAATGTCGAGTGTGATTGTAATATCAATTAGCAAGCTATGTATGATGTAGTCAAATTTTTAGAAAATGTTTGAAGATTGAGTTTATGAGAAAATGATATTTACAAGCTCGAATAGATTTCAAATTGTGATGAGGAATTTGATTATTATGGAGATAACTTTGGAGATGAGTTCGAGATTTCACGGGGTAGGTGTTAATTTTTCAATTTGCTATCTAATATTTTTTCTTTACTTTTTGCTCTTTCTCAACTTTTTCTTATTTCTCAGCTTAAGTCACCTTTTCATATTCCTAGCATTTTTTCCTTATTTACAGTGTTTTCTTCTTCTGACACATCGATTATTTATGATTCTTTTTATTCTCATTCTCAGTCTAGTGTTGAATTGAGTGTTTTCTGTCCTCTTTATATTAATCTAGATGTTAAGCATATATATGAAGTGGAGAATCTTGCTTTTATTTTGTTGACAGAGTCTTTGATCAATTTTGGTGTTAAGTATTCTCATATTCTAAAGATTAAATCACTTTAGCTAGAATTTCAAGTTTAATCCCCACTTTTTAGTGTTATTGAGAGCCTTTATTTTACTGTTGTTTCTAAGGAATTTATATATTCCCTTAAGAGTGTAAACATTATTATTGATTTTCCTCTCTTAAGTGTTGAGTTGTGTGTTGAGGAGGTTGAGCCGTGTGAATCTTTTGCTTATATTGTGGTGGCTAAAGTATTTTATGATTAAAAATCCTTTATTTTCTAAGCTTTGAACACATGTTTTTATTTTGATTTCCTTATTTAATTGTAAGCCACAAATTTTTCTTTTTCAATTTGCTACCTTACCTTGTCTATCCGACCACCATAGCTTAGAATAGGGTTGGGACTTGAATCCAGCCTTGCTTTATTGAGTTTTTGCATTATCAACTATTACAAATTCCTCTTCTAATGTTTCTTTATTCATTTTTTTGTTTTTTCCACAATGATTTTTCCTCAATTTTTCTCGCTTTTTCCTTTTTGCCTTGATATTTCAAACTTTTTTTTTTTTGGAGGAGGGGGTATAGGGACAGATGGGAGTTCGGCCCTGACGATAGAGTGAGAACAAACAAATATAGTAATGGAGTGAAGACAAATGACATGGATTGTGGAGTGAGGATGAGCATAGCGAATACAAATGGAATATTCAACCCCAACATAGTGAGGCTAAACAAATGCAATAGTGAAGTGATGGTAGAGTGAAGATAAATGCAACGAGTTCAAATGAATCAGTGTTTCAAAACTTTTTTTCCTTCGAGGAAAGGATAAAGAGGATGTGTAAGACAAATAGAGTGAGTTCAATCTTCCATATGTAGTGATAAACAAAGACAAAGAGGCAAGTTTTACTTATGGTTGTAAGTCTGAGTTAATAGTGGTCTCGGAGAATTATTGGTAGGCAAACTTAAATGTGGGGTATATCATTTATTGCAATAGCATTTTATGGATTACAATAATTCTTAAAATCCCTTGCTTTGGTTCAAAATTATAACTTCAAGGTTAGTTTAAGCATTTGATAACTACACACAAAGTTGCAACTAATTTATCAAGATTCCATACTCAATTGATGTTTATGCTATGACTTTGGCTTATGCTATTTGTTTGTTTTAGTTGTGGTTATCAACAACTTTGTTAGTGGTTTTATAAGAGTTACAGATTCTTATGGTAGTTTATAATCATTCAAAAAAAAATTTAAATGTTCCTCCTATCATTACCTTTTTCATCTTCCAAATGAGAGGATAATGTAAAGTTTGTAAATACATATATGTATATATATGTAACTCTGGCTAAGTAATACACTAATTATAATATTATAATATATGGACTAAATTTGATCCATCCATTTTTGTATATAGACCCTAATTAATATATTTATTTTTATATGCCAGCCTCACATTTCCACAATCCTAATCACATTTAGATTTCAAATTAAATTGCAATTTTCAAATTTAAAAAGCTTAATTTTAAAGTGAGTGTGTGAGGGCCAAGTGTACGGCTACGATGCCGTATACTAATATTAGCGTAGTGGGATTTTGGTAGCCGTCGGATTAGTTTCAATCCGGACCACTCGCTCCTGTATATAAACTAGGGTTTTTGGGCTAATTGATATGCATATTTCTGTATTCCCTTTCCATATTCCAAGCACTCACATTAGTGGAGATGAGGGGCACCTTTGATTGTCCCTGGGGAGTGTTTGGATTTGGGATTTTGGTTTAGATCTAGCTTTTGCATCGTCTAGATCTAGCTTTTTCCATTTCCTTTTTTTTGTTCTTTCCTTTCAGGATTTTGGTTTAGATCTAGCTTTTTGCATTGTCTAGATCTACCATTTCTTTCCAGCTTTTTTGTCATTTCTCTTCTTTTGCTCTTTCTTTTTTTCATTCATCTTCATGGCCGATCCACAATCTCCTCCTTTGACTCTAGAGCAGTAGTTGGTTCAATTGCTTGATGCTATGCGCTTGCAATTGAACAACCAAACTCAATTGATGGCGGCGTTTATGGCATGTGGTACAACTCCTCATGCTCTTGGTGCCAATCCTCGCGTTCGGCCGGAGTTCTTTCGCGGGAATCCTGGGGATGATGTGTACCATTGGTTCGATCACTTTACAGTGATTGCCACATATCATTCTTGGGATGATGCTCGACGGCTGCGTGAGTTTCCCACGTGTCTCCAAATGACGGCGTTGCAGTGGTACAATGGTTTGAGCGCAGCCACTCGTAGGGATTGGAGTGTTCTCCCGGATGTCTTCAAACGCGCCTTCGAACATGCCGATGATTGTGATGATGCTTTCCAACAATTGCATTGTCTTCGCCAAGGGCCATCTGAGTCGGTGATGCAATTTGGCGTTTGTTTCCGAAGTCTTTTGCTTCGTGTGGAGCCAAATATGTCGGAGCGGATCAAGCTAGGAATGTTGTGGCCAGCACTTCGTCAAGATCTTGTCGGACTTGTGCATGCACTTGCTCCTGCCACCCTTGATGATACTCTTTGCTTGGCACAACGTTACGAGACGTCGCCTCTTCCACTTCTCGCTGCATGTCCTTCCGCTCCACTTCCTATGGGTGATGGTCCTGTTCCAATGGAGGTTGATGCTACTGCTGCTCGAGTCCAAGGACAAGTGCGAGGACGTGGTCGTGGCCGTGATGTTTGCTGCTGGGCGTGTGATGAAGTTGGTCATACTTATCGGCGTTGCCGTCGTTTTCCGGATTGGCAACCTCCATTTCCTGGGTGGAGACCTTGGTGTCAGCAACGTCCCCTGGGTGCTGCTGCAGTGGAAGGTCTGGACACCGAGATGCATCCGGGAAACGAGGAGTCGCGCGAGTAATGGAGGGACCTTGCGCAAATAAATCAGTGACCCCTCCATATTTCTTTCAGGAGTATCATCAAGATGTTCACTCGGCACTAGTTCATCCAGTGTTTACTTTCCAAGCTCGTTTTTATAACAAGAGGTCTCCTATTATTCTCTCCGTGTTGGTTGATACAAGTTCGAGTTTATCTTCTATTGCTTGACCTGTTGCCACACGTTGTCGTCTACACTTGCGTCGTGCGGCGGAACAAGTTTTCATTCTTTATGGCAACAGCTGTACACATGCATGTGCACGGGATGAGGTGGACCTAGTTGTGCGTGTGGGTGATCTCGAGCTTGAGTTGCAGTCGTTGCGGGTGGTGCCAAGTCAAGCTTTTGACCTCATTCTTGGTATGGATTGGTTGTAGCGTAATCATGCCAAGTGTGATTTTGAGGCTTCTTCCCCTTGTCTCATACGTCCTTATGTTTCATCCATTCCTCTCACTTCCACACCTCTTCGTCCCTCTACTTCTACCTCTGCTTCCATTACTTTTGTTCCCCCACTCTTTCCTTCTGTGTTTCCATTTTGTTCTGCTTTTCCCTTTTCTGATCCCTTTGACGACCTTTGTGTTGCAGCAGTTGACCGGCTCATGAAGGAGTATTCTGATCTCTTTGAATTTGACCTATCGTCTGGGGCCAAGATTGCCACACGTCATCCGATTCCAACCGGGGATGCTCGTCCAATCAAGGTTCCTGTTCGTCGTTGGTCACCTAAGGAGATTAAGATTTTACGAGCAAACGTCAAGGAAATGTTGGAAAAGGGTGTTATTCGGAAGTCGCGGAGTCCTTGGGCATGTGAACCTCATCTTGTGACGAAGCCTGATGGGAGTATTCGTTTCTGCATCGACTATCGTCCATTAAACGAAGTGACGATCCCAGATGCGTATCCTCTTCCTCACACTGCTGATCTCTTGGATCGTCTGGGGCGAAGTCATTGGTTCACCAAGCTAGATCTTGCTTCTGGGTATTGGCAAGTACCGATGGCCGAAGAAGATATTCCTAAGACTGCTTTTCATACACCATTTGATTTGTACGAGTTCTTGGTGATGCCGTTTGGTTTGAACAATGCTCCAGCAACTTTCCAGCGGATGATGGGCGAGGTTCTTTGCGATATGCCGGAGGTGACTGCTGACTTCATTGATGATGTCTTGATCCACTCGGAGGGGACGTGGGAGGAGCACGTTCGTGATGTTTGTAAAGTGTTGGATCGGCTATGCGACGTTGGTTTAAAGCTGAAGCGGTCAAAGTGCGTGTTTGGGTCCAAGGACACAACTTATCTTGGGTACCATATTTTTCGTGAGGGTTTGCAAGTTGATCCTGACAAACTTGTGGCTGTTCTAAAGTTCCCTACTCCTAAGTATGTGAATGATGTGCAGCGCTTTTTGGGTAAGGTGCAGTATCTCGGTCGTTTTGTGGATCATCTTTCCGATCGCACTACACCATTACGAGCGTTGCTGAAGTCATCAACGTCATCTTTCATCTGGTCTCCGGATTGTGAGCGGGCGTTCGTGGATCTCAAAGAGCTATTGATGACTCCTCCGGTTTTGGCATATCCTGACTACACTCGACCTTTTATTTTGCGCGTGGATGCTTCTGACATTGGTCTTGGAGGTGTGTTGATGCAAGAGAGCTCTAGTGTGCTTGGTCAGCGCCATCCCATTGCTTATATAAGCCGTACATTACAACCAACGGAGATGAACTACTCCACGACAGAGAAGGAGTGTTTAGCAGCAGTCTGGGGTTTCGAGAAACTTCATGCATATCTACATGGTTCTCGGACGTTACTTGAAGGTGACCATGCTGCTGTTACTTCATTATTGAAGCGGAAGAACCTGGTTGGTCGTACGGCTCGCTGGGCTTTGAAGCTTCAGATATATGATTTCGATGTTGTTCATCGCCCAGGGAATTCTATGGCTGATGCTGATGCCCTTTCTCGAGCTCCTCTTCCTTCTCCACTCACTTCTCATGTTTCTGACGAACCTGTTGTTCCAGCATCTGTGGATTTTCTAGATGAGGATTCTGTGTCGTCGGCAGTTGCTGTCCTTGACGTTCAGTGTCCACAGGACGCAGAGCAAGATCTACCTTCTCTTGATGAGGTTCGCGAGGCTCAAAAGATTGAGCCGTGGATTCGAAGGCTTCGAGATGGGTTTGAGAATCCTACATCACTTGCTGATGACTTGCCTTTCCGGCATTTACATTCTCAATATCGCCTTGAAGATGGCCTTCTTTATTTTGTGGGGACAGATCCTGATGATCATTTACGGCTGGTGGTGCCTTCGGTGTTTATTCCGCGGTTTCTCCATGCCTACCATGATTCTCCTGTTCTAGGTGGGCATATGGGACACCATCGTGTCATCGGGAAGCTGCGCAGGTCTTTCTATTGGCCGGAGATGCGACGTGATATTATCCAGTATGTGCGTAGCTGCGTTTGGTGCCAAGCTCGTAATACTCCCCCTTGTGCTGCGGAAGGACAGTTGGAGTCAATTGCAGTTTCCCGTCCGTTTGAGTTGGTGGCGTTTGATCTTATGGGACCTTTTCCACGATCAACTACTGGCAATGAGTATGTTATTATTGCTTCTGACTACTTGACTCATTGGGTGGAAGTTGGTGCTCTTGCTAGCGCCTCTGCAACTGCTGTTGGATACTTCCTCCTCAATCGAGTGGTGTTCCAGCATTCTTGTCCAGAGCGGATTCTTTCGGATAATGGTCTTGCATTTATGGCTGAGGTATTTCATGTTTTGACATCTCGGTTGGGGATACGCCACACTTTTACGAGTGCTTATCATCCACAATCAGACGGTCTGGTGGAACGGCTCGTTCGAACATTCAAAGGGATGATTGTGAAGTATGTGAACTTTTAGCATTCGGATTGGGATGGTTATTTGCCGTCTCTTCGGTATGCCTATGTCATAAGGGTGCAGAGTTCTGTTGGTGCTTCACCATATAAACTTCTATATGGTCATGATCCAATATTACCAACAGAGCTGGGTTTACCTTCGCGATTGCCACGAACTCCTGATGCTAGGTCATGGGATCAATATTTGACAAGCATTCTTCCACTTGTCCGAGCAGAGTCTGCCAAACACTTAGGCCGCATACAAGTGGGACAACAACGGCGCTACAACTCCCATCATCGTCCACCTGCAAAGTACAAAGTGGATGATTTGGTGTTCGTCCGTTTTCCCCATCTTACGGTACGTGGTTTATCTAAGGGGCTCCTTGCGCAGTGGAAAGGACCGTATTGGGTGTTGCGGCAAGTTGGACCGCAAGTTTATGAGGTTCGGCATGATGTTTAGCAGGCCAATCCTCCAGAGATTGTGCATGTGCAGCAATTAAAACGCTTCATACAAAGGGATCAGGAGCAATTAATACCATCTACAGATCCGCCGATGCCTCCTCCTGACGTTCCTCCAGATCCCGGCCCATCTACAAGAGAACCCTGATGGCCTTCCATTATTCCGAGAGGAAGGGATGATGTGAGGGCCAAGTGTATGGCTACGATGCCGTATACTAATATTAGCATAGTGGGATTTTGGTAGCCGTCGGATTGATTTCAATCTGGACCACTCGCTCCTGTATATAAACTAGGGTTTTTGGGCTAATTGATATGCACATTTCTATATTCCGTCTCCATATTCCAAGCACTCACAAGTGCAAAACCATAAAGGTTTATTTTTTATAAAAAATATATAAAAATTTAGCTGAATGTAAGATTAAAATTTCTGGTAAAGTGAAAGTGATCCTAGGGCTCTTGGTTAGCTCAATGTTGCTTGGGAACAGATGAGGCGCAGGGAATCCCCAGCAATCCAGCTCGATCTCTCGCGCCCTCCAGCGCATCCAGGGAAAAGAATGCCGTCACTGAAGTTCCTGACCATGGTGCTCCTCTCCTGCCTGGTATTCTCTTCTCTCCTCGCGCTAAGATTCGCCAGGTTCTCGCGGCTGGATCCAGGGTCGATAGCGCTGAGCCGACGAGCGATTCCTTCACACTGGCAAAATCCACCGCAAGGTACGCCGCTAGCAGCGATGAATTCTAGAATGGAAGCGCGGATCTTCGCAATGCAGGTGATCGGCAGGGCATGGATGGATTGCTCGCTCCCCGCGATCGAGAGGATCGCTGCCACAGTAGATCCCGGCACCACTTGTATCGCCAGCCTTCACGATTCAAGCCCTCAAAGTATCTGGTTTCCAAGCTTCGCCAATACGAGGCCTTGCATCAAAGGTGTGCTCCAGAGGCAGAGAAATCCAGGCAAGATGGTGGCGGTGGAAGTTCTTGCCAGTTTCTAGTCTGGGTCTCATACAGTGGCCTAGGGAACAAGCTGGTGACTTTGGCAGCCACTTTTCTCTACGCTCTACTCACGGATAGAGTTTTGCTGGTCGATCCAGGGGTGGACTTGGAGGAGCTCCTGTGCGAGCCTTTCCCAGGTTCTTCATGGCTTCTCCCATCGAGCTTTCCTCGAGAGTGGCTGCGTGGTCTCAACGAATCCTCGCAGCATAGATTTGGCTCCATTGTCCGCGACGCAGGAAAGTGTGTTCCCGATGCCAGTCACTTGATCGCCGCTCCAGGCAAGGTGTATATCCATCTCACTCACACCTACGACGAACAGGATCGCAGGTTTTTCTGCGAGGGCGAGCAGGAGTTCTTGAGAAAGGTGCCGTGGCTCTTCATCAAGTCGAACAACTATTTTGTTCCAAGCTTCTACTTCATGCCAACGTTTCGAGCGGAGCTGGAGAGGATGTTTCCGGAGCGAGAGACTGTGTTCCATCACCTTGGGAGGTACTTGCTTCATCCATCAAACTCGGTGTGGGCTCGAACAACGAGATACTACGAGAGCTATCTAGGCGGAGCAGAGCTGCTGGTCGGCCTCCAGCTCCGGACGTTCGAAGGCTCGATCGAGGCATTCTCGAACCAGGTCCTGGAATGCGTCGTCGAGAACAAGATGCTTCCCAATGTCACTCGCGACGACGAAGCTAGCAGACTGATTGATGGCGGAGAAGACAGATCAATCTCCGTGCTGATAACTTCACTCCACCAGATTTACTACGAGCGACTGCGAGACATGTACGTCATGTTTCCTACGGAAGATCTTTCGCGAGTCAAGGTGCACTTGCCGAGCCACGAAGGGGTGCAAAAGACCGATACTTCCGACCATGACAAGAAGGCGCTCATGGAGATCTTCCTCCTCTCCTTTTGCGACACTTTGGTGACCAGTCCCATGTCCACGTTTGGCTACGTTGCACAGGGCTTGGCTGGTTTGAGACCGCGGGTTTTACGCAGGCTGGAAGACGATCCCACTCAACCGGCTTGCTCCAGTGTCCTCTCCGTGGATCCGTGCTTCCACGCTCCTCCACTTTACGACTGTGACTGCAAAGGTGGCAGGGATCCCGGCAAGGTTTTGGACGCTGTCAAACACTGCCAGGACGTGAAGTGGGGGATCCAACTTGTCAACAATCCGAGCGACGAGTAGAAAGCAGCAGCAGCATGTATTGACGAAAATAAGGTACGAGGCTATCTTTTTTTGTTTGTGTGTGTACTTACACCATACACTGTTTTTCAGGCCTTTTCAATAAAAACGAGAGAAGAGTCTGGCAAAGAACTTTGGAACTGAACGGTGGAGTGTCTGCTAGTAGTTACAAGTAAGCCTGTTGGTTGTGTTGTTTATCTAGCAATCACTCTGACACTTATGGAGCAACAGGTTGTTCTCTTTTGCGCTCTCTGGCTCTTCACGGCCAGCTGCTGCAGCGGAAACGCAATCTACCAAGGCACCCCCAACCGCCTCCCCATTGGCTTCGCGCGAGAGACGATAGTCAGCGCTGCTTACAAAGTGCTCAACCGGATCCAGGTGGGCGACGCGTACCCCGCCGGCAAGTCCTTCTCAGACTACGTCCAAGTCGGCTCGATGCAGATCAACCTCAGCTTCTGGTTCCTCAAGAAGGCGAACGAGCGCGGCTACTGCAACGCGGCCGTGGATCGCAGCGTGACCGCGTTCGGACAGGAACTGAAGGACGGCCTGCTGCCACTCTACCTCGACCTCATGCGCCTAGTGAGGAGACAAGGCTTCGACTTTCTCATCCTGGCCAAGGACAACTACATGGCCATGTACAGCTTGGATCCTCCAGAGTGGCCGCAGCTAACGGACGAGTCGATCGAGCCGGCTAGTTTCGGAGACTGCTGGGTCTTCCTCACCGGCATCACGAACGCGATCTACAAGTTTCTCAGGGTAGGCCTCTCTATCCTGTCCGCAAGCAGGGCCTACGAGCTGATCATGCAAACCGACTGCAACCTGGTTCTCTACGACTTGGGCCATTCGCAGTCGCTGTGGTCGTCGGAAACGAACGGGAAGGGCGACAGCTGCTACGCGGTCGTCCAGACGGACGGAAACTTTGTGGTGTACGACGGCAAAGGCGTGGCCCTGTTCACGACCAACACGTACTGCCGCCTCCCCTGTTACGATGCCACTTCCCTGGTGGTGGGCGACGATGGCGTGCTTCGCTTGTTTAACAATTGGCTGGCCATTCGTCTCTGGTCGAGCGATGGAAAACCATTGTAGAAGCCGCCATTTTTCTTAGATATGCCCGGAATATGCCATAGTATCTATATTTATTCTAGACTAATCTTGTGTGTTTAGTGTTAACAAGCTACATTTCTGGTATATTCGAAAACTGACCTAGAAGGATATTCCTTAAAGGCATATTCGCACAATATACTTTCAGCTAAGCCTAAAAGGATATCCTTCGTATCATTTTAATGATAAAATTTGTTAACCTAGAAGGATATTCGCTAGAGGCAATCGCATATTCATCCCATTTGAAAATTGGCAATGGGAAATCCGCGAGTTTTCTTGGAGATCACCATCGCGAGCCACAAGGTGGGGCGAATCGTGATGGAGCTCTACAGCGACACCACGCCAAAGACGGCCGAGAACTTTCGGTGCCTGTGCACGGGCGAGAAGGGCGTGGGCAAGCGCGGCAAGCCCCTCTGCTTCAAAGGCACGCCCTTCCACCGCGTCGTTCCGGAGTTCGTCGCGCAGGCCGGGGACGTGATCGAGGGGAACGGAACGAGCGGCGAGTCCATCTACGGGCCAAAGTTCCTGGACGAGAGCTTTGAGCGCAAGCACACGGGTCCCGGGATCCTGTCCATGGCCAACGCCGGCCCAAACACGAACTCCTCGCAGTTCTTCGTCACGCTGGGAGCCGCACCGTGGCTGGATGGCAAGCACGTCGTCTTTGGCCGCGTTGTCGATGGAATGAATGTGTTGAAGGCCATCCAGGCCGCTGGAACTCTCGGGGGCAAGCCTTGGAAGAAAATCGTCATCTCCAACTCTGGACAGCTCTAGACGAAGCCTCTGCCTTCTCAGTTTCCCTGGAGATCTTTTTCTTTTTTTCTAGCAGGTTCTCTTGCATTCCCTGGATATCTTTCTTCTTCGTTCAATCTCTGGATATCTGTCTCTTGGATATCTTTTCTTCTGGAGTATCTTTCTCTTCTTCCATGGATATCTGTCTCTCCATCCCTCTCTGCAGAGCTGAAAACCTGTAGAGACTAAAACTATGCGTGCTAAAGCCCGAATGCCCCAAGCCTCTTACAAAACGAAGAAGAAAAATGTAGAAGTCGTTCGCTAGACTATATTGCTGTTACCTATTATCCTTCTAAACCATCAAAACTAGGCAGCCAACTAAAATGGTACCTCGGCTCCGCTGTACACCTGTTTTTTTTTCTTTCCCCACCCAGTACTAGTATCGACCACCAAAACTCTGTGACTCTCGAGTGCTCCGGCAGTAATTCCACACGGTGAAGGGAATTGCAAGCAACCAAGAAACACAAAGTTTACCTTTCACGAGAAAACTTCCGCGAGAGAAAGTTACCTGGAATGCGGTAGAAAAGTGAGAACCAACCGAAACAAGAAGTATATACCTGTCTTCTCCTTGCCGTCGAGCGCAGTCACCTGCAAAACAGATGCAAATAAATGCTCGTCAAGCTCGTGACAATACTAAGTCTTACAACGAACGCTCCTATCGTCCAGTGACGTTTGCTGCACAAGACAATCCACTGTAAGTCTCAATGAAGAAGATAGCAGAAGCAAAGTAAAAGAAATGGAAGGTAGACCAATATCGGACTCGAGGAACGTTGGAATTCTTCCAGCTTTCCACTCCAGCGCTCTCCATACCTCATAGCGTCAATCCTGCTCCTTTTGCAGCTTCGGCGGCAGCCTCCGGGTTCCATGCTCGAGATATAAAGCGTCGCCACAGACCAGCCGAAAACGGATAGGCCGCAAGAGCATTCCTGTAGAAGCTCTCGCAGCAGTCTTCCAGACCAACCTGTTGAAGCCAATCCCCGGCCTCCAGCCACAATCTTTCGGGAGCAGCAGAGAGCCGCAAGGACGTCACAAGAAGCGAACCAGCCCAGGCTGCTGCTGCAGGACTGAAGCCATCCGAAGTGTTGAGCGCCTTACAAAATGCCAACGCCAGGACGGAATTCGATGGAAACAACTCCAAAAGTCCGCCACCAAAGTGCCTGGAAAACTCTGGCTGGTCGCGTGGAAGTAGCTCTGGGCCGGAACACATGCGCAGCAAGGAGTTGACGAAGGAATAGTCGGAAGGAGCTGGCCCGAGCAATGTGTCTATGAAACAGCGGATCCTGCGCTTCTTGATGCCCTTTAGAAAGCCCCGTCCGAGAGGAGTTAGCTTTGGCGACAACCGTGACTGCATATGGCACCTGTCCAAGATGCTCGTGAACACGTCCTGAAAGTTACGACCACCTGTAGCCGAGAGCTTGAAGGCGGCAAACTCCAGCCAGCAATGCGTGCCAGCATGAGTCGACGACAGTGCTTTCTCTAGAGCGACTTGAGCCTCGTGCGATCTCCCCCGTAATGACTCCAAAAGAGCGATGTTCACCAATGAGAAAGTGGAATCCTCGACACTCTTGGAGCCCGTTGACAACGTCAACCCGTTCGTCTGTCCATTCCTTGCCTCCCTCGTTGAGCACTTCTGAAGTATAACTAGCGCCCCCTCCTCCCCTTCCCATTCCAAAGCATGGCCAGCGTACTGATTCCACAGGGCCTGAACGCCAGATCTTTTACTTGGCCACTTAGACAACGCGCTCTGAAAAACCGCCAGCCCGGATTTACAGCCCCCTCGTAACCTTTGGACGTTCGCACAAAGAACTACCAGCTCCACTGAGCACGGATGTAGTTGCACCGCTTGCTGGCAATAGTTTGAAGCATACTCGAGGTCCTCAAAGGCCACCAAAAACCTGATAAAGTTTACTGCCAACACTTCTTTAGGAAGATCATCCCCGGACCCTGCCGGCGCTAAAGAACCTGTCGCAGTCTTCATCATCTTCACCACCCGTGATCGTGTCCCTTCATTGACCACCTGAGGCGTTTCCCATTCCAAGCTAAGAGGCAATTCCTGCTTGCAACCAAGCCTGGAGATAACTGATCCTGGTAAAGTTCCGTAGGCACAGAAGTACGCGCAGCAAACCCAGAGGATGCACGCCTCGGAAGCCTGTAAGTTCTTCCAGACAGCTGATGAGCTCTTCCACCCGTTTAAAGTTCCTTCACTAGTCACGAGGTTGTCTATCCACTTTAAAACGTCGTTCTCGGACATGGCCAAAGTGTGAAACATCTTCAAAACCAAATCGAGGATGCACGCACTATTCTGCCCGTCGCCATTGAGCCTGTTTCCTTCGCATAATGACAGGATAGCCAAGTCATATGACTCGAGTAGATCCCCTAGGCTTGTTCTGCTGGCAAGAACAAGACACCAAAGGTCGTACGAGTACTTGTTGAGTCGCACCTGCAGGAACATAGTCCACTGTTGAAACGCAATTTTAGACGCATGTAAAGCTTTTACCGCGTGAAGGAACATGTCGTCGTTCTTAGTCATTGAATCCTCCATGGAGATTAAAACCAGATAAACCACCCATAGAGGCACCGACGTTTTGTTCATTTCCAACGCTCTGGACAAAACACATAGCGCCTAGCACGCACATAATCCTTCGTTGGAGACTGATCTATAAAAGCAAAATGGCTACTTACATTTTTAAGACAATTTGAACTTTCGATGTTGACATCGTATTGCAAGATATTTAGAGCCAAGTCCAAGCATCCGTCGGCACTAGATTCCCGAGAGAGCTGAGAAAATTTAAGTCATAAGAAAAAATCTGACCCGGAACTCCAAAAGCATACGTACCATTTGTTTTGCATTTACCACGTCTGCTTGCAAAACGTCAAAGTTTTCGTTGAATAATTTACTCCTCTCATCAAGGATGCAAGGCATGTCTTGTGGAAGTGGCCTTTGCATAGATATCGTTGTCAAGAACGAGTATAACGAGTTGACGGGAGCAACGGGAGAAACATTGAAAAACTTTGTACGATTCATCTCCTGCCAATCTCTCATGAGGTAGGTAGCGATGCGATAAGTCGGCACTGGCACTTCGAACTGCATCCAGGATGCCTGTCGCTTGTTTCGATTTTCCTCGGATGCCTCCTGCCTATCCCGTATGTATCCCAGCCTGTGATGACTGACATGCTGAAAACTGCAAAGCTCGTTGTTGCATTTTCCACGGTGCTCGAACTTGCAAAGCGGCTTGAACGGGTCGAATACTTTAGACGATGTCGAGTTCTTCAGAGGACTTTCGTATTTGCCGAAAGGTTCAGCTGTAGCCTCGAATGCCTTCTTTGCTTCTGGCACTTGAATTCCACACACCGCTGACTTGAAAGTGAATTGCCGAAAAACAACCAAACGGCCCGCTGACAACCTAGTAAACCATTTTGTGCCGTTCAGACTGCTGTCCCTTACTTCCACCGAGAAGCCTGTGTTTTCCAAGTCATCCATAACTACACCGATCGAAGATTCAGTGGAGCTGCCCTGCTTCGGAGCACCGTTGACGTCTTCCAGCGGATCCAGCGTAGTTACAGGCTCCCTGCCGGAGGTTTCCAATTCGTTTCCCACGACGAGGTGGTCCATTTTGTTTCTGAGTTCTTCTGAGCTCGACGATGAGCCTTGCAAGTCCTCCTCTTCGCAAGTTGAAGCTGCTACAGCTTCCTGTACCTTCTCTTCGATCGGGGGAGCCTGATAAAAGAAAATATTAAGTTTTCAAAACAATAAATCGATAGAAGTATATGAGCATCACCTTCGAAACATCATGAGCATCGTGAGCCACAGGTGGCTGGGTACAAAGTCCTGCATCAAGAGAAAAGAGGATCACTTTACGTACAAAATTATGATCCAGCTTACCGGCGGACTCTGCAGTGATCGTTTGAATTAAACTCGTAGCATTATTCTCAGGAACATTCGGACAGGCAGGTTGGGTTTCAATCTCCTTCTCTGCGTCTGCATCCAGCTCCTTAGCTTCGCTCACAGATCGTCCTGAAACGATCTCCTCAAGTATGCGAAGAGGTGCCGGATCATCGTCACGAGTAACGATGCCAGTAGAAACATTTGTCTGATCGGCAGCAGAAGGAACGATGGGGGAGTCCGACTTCGGAGCGTCAAAACAAGTTTGAGCTAATTCGAGAGGCCGGCCCTCCTCCATAACATCACACCTCATTTCAGCTGCTGTGACTTTTAACGAGATTATATCCCGCCGCCGATAAAGTTTGTCGCAGTTCGCAGTAGCCACCTTCAACGCTTCTTGGGCTTCCCGATACGCTTTCCTAGCCAGGCGTTCTCGAATCTCACACATGTGTCGATGGTGCTGTGCCAACTCCAACTCCTTGTCAACCGCTTCTTCTTCCAGGGCTAGTTCCGCAACCGACGGTTTACTTCTAGAAATACCAGCGACGGCGATCTCAAGACTGCTCATGTTTTGTCCGCCAGCCGACCTTTTTTCCGTCGACAGATTGGCCACCTCCAGGTATCCGCTTTGCGGCAAGACCTCTGCGCAGGCGTTTTCCACAGCACCTGGTAGCTTTTGCCTTTTAGTGCTGGCTTCCTCTTCATGCATGGCCTTATCGGCACCACGCTTGATGCCCCCACCGTGCGTCGACGTATCCATCGTCTGAACTGCCAAAGGTCTCGAATCTCCCGGCCCGGTGTTGGATGACGGTCCCAGAGTTCCCAGGTTTTGCTGAGTCGCTGGAGAAAATACATTATCGGTAACCGGAAAACTCGCGTTGTTTGAAGCTGGTAAGCTTGAGTCTGGAGGACTAGAGGTGTTGGTTGAGTTATTTACGACCTCCCTTCGTTGCCTCTGCTGCTGAATTTCAACCTCCTTCGATGCTATCTGTTTCCTCAAAAGGTCCAGATTGGTCTGAGTTCCACAGTCCTTCGGACCAAGAGGATTTTGCCGAGAGTGACTGCCAGCGGCGGGCCTGGTACTCTTTAAAATCGGCAGTGACTTCCCTTTTACTCGCTCGATAGCAGCAATTTGCTTCTTCATCCGGTCAATCTCCACCCGCAAGCTGGCCGGCTTTGCTGCGTTCACTGGAGTTGCTTTCGCATCTTCTCCATCGCTCTCATCGTCTGAAAACTTGATGAGAAACGGGTTCTCGCCAAGGCCATTGTTGCTCGCCTTGTGAGTGTTTGCCTTTCCATTTGGCAGCTGTGCTGGAAGACACACTGACGAACGCATCAGCGAAAAACACGAGAAATAAATCGCAAAAACCTCCTGTGGTAGAAAGCGTCTTAGTCGCGGTTCCCATGCGCAAGTCGTTCGCTCCTTTGTCTTTTTGAATGGAATGGTTCTTCTGAGGAATCTCTGGCGGAGTTTCACTAACAGTGTTCGTGACCTGAAAATAGCAGGACGAAACTTTAGCACTGAGAAAACCAAGAGAAGATGAAAGAATCAAAAGAACACAGCGAAGCTTTAGCGCTGCGGAAAGCAAGAAACAAAAGAGAAGATAAGCACTGGCATTTTTTACTCACTTGCTTTTGCAGCGGTGTGCTTGCTGGCGCCCGATACACTGCGTGGATACTATAAAAACTCTAGGCCAGAGAAATGGAATGGAAAAGGAAACTATTTACCAAAGGATTGTGCTGCTGCTGCCCCTGCTACCTTCAAATCCAATGGCAAATGCGGCACTCCAGTCGGCGAGGCGCTCGATTGCTGCGCCGCTGCCGCTGCTTTCTTCTTCTTCTTGTGGTTGCCGCTCACCTTGCGCTTGGCCTGCATCGAAATATCTAGCTTCAAGAACAGCTGCAAATCGAGAGAGGAATCCATTGCCCTACCATACAATCTGCGCCTTGCGCGTTCTCATCCGATGACAGCTCCCCTTCTTCCTTCTCGTCGATCGCAGCAGCAGCCCTGACCCAGCGATACGATCTCCGAGACGTTTCAGGGATTGAAGCGAAGGCCAATGCTCTCAGATGCTCAGTGCTGAGCGCATCATCCATTACCTCTACGCTACGCTCGTCATCCCCTTCTCCTCACCCTAACCCTAAGCGCATATCCAGCGAATCGTTCTTAGAGGTAAACTACTAGTTTGACCATGTAGAGTTGACCATTTTTCTCTAGTCAAACTTAAAACGTTATACATTCTATTCATTATACTTACCAAAAACTTGCCACGCACTGTGGCATGTTAATATCGTTTTATAGCAGTAGTAGTAGTGGACGAGCTCTTGGGCTAATCGAATTGCCGAGGAAGGAGATGGAAAATATAGTCGGAACTTCTATACGATCTTTGCAACTGGAGGTTGGAAAATCCTTTGCTCATCTCCTCGTCTTCGTCCAGTCCAGCCGTCTCGAATTTGCGAGACCACCACGTCCGGTTGTGGCTCTTGATCTGTCCAAAGATCATCAGCGAAAGCACATAGAAAAACTTTTCTTACGGATTTTAGTGCCGCTTGGAGCTGCCTGGCCGATGATACTTGCGATGGCTGACTAGCTGTGCAAGAATTCAGCGCGTTAGAGACTAGAGGATGCTGGAAAGACGTGAAACAAGATAGAGAAGGCTTACAGATGAAAGCAACGATGGCATGGCTGGTTAGTCGAGCTAGCTCCGGAAGTGTTCTGTTCAGCTGGCGAGATGTCAAGTGCTCGAGTGTGTTGCTTGCCAAGACCAGGGAGAATGACTTTGATCTGTATGGGAGTCCCCGGTGAACGTCCGCAATACGGACTAATCCCTTCTTGACGAGGCTCTTGCAAACCGAGCTTGGATTTGTCATCTCCGATGGTTCCACACCCCATGCCTGTCCGCCTTCGTCTTGAAGCAGCCTGGCGACGACGTTACACGTCTGCGGTCCGATGTGAAGAACTGCTTTCATGTGTTTTCCATACACCTCTTGCAGCAATGGTAGAGCGTCCAGCACTCCAGCAGACGCTTCCTCCGAGTTATTGTCTAAAGAGAAAAAGCTCTCAAGTTGAACAACAGGAAGAAAACGAATAGTGAGTACCAGCAATGGACTTTAGCTGTTCGTGTTGATCCTCCTCTTCAGTGTCATGCGTATGAGTTTCCACTGGAAGTGAGCGCACAAGTAAGGATGGATTGAGCTTCCTTGCTGTGGCTACAGCCGAGGATGGCGAAGTCTTTGAGTGGTGCTGGAAGGCTACAATGAACGAAGTGATGCGATTTAGTCCCAAAGCATAGAAGAAGGAAATGGATCACATACTTGAGGGCCCGAAGAGGTAGACGAAAAACAACACCATAACCTGGGAAAAACAAAGAAAGGCTTTAGAAGAACGAGCCAATAGAACAATAGTTCGTAGGATACAAAAAAGAAAGAAGAAATTTGGCAGCCTACTTACGACGAATAGAACGCAGGCGGAGACTAGCGAAGAGGAGTCCGATTTGCTCTGAGCCTGCGCGGAGCTGGACAATCCATTGCCTCCCGAATCGTCGGAGGACCTTCTCGGACGCCGAGACATCGCATTGTTCATCTGAAAAGCGGCATGAATTCCAATAATCCCATTAGGGCCTAATGGAATGTTCCTGGGGGGGCAAATCGAAGAATGCAGGCGAGATCTGACCCTCCCGGGCATCAAATCACACAAAACAAGCACCGAAGCGCACAGAATCACAGCAACAATGCCGCAATCCCACGAAACAATGCAAGAAATTGCAAGGATCCCGTCGAGAAATCCATACCCTAGGCAGATCGATCGCGATCTCCAATCCAAAACCCCGCCGCCCTCACAGCGCCTAGCCAGCGCACTTGCTCTCGACTGTGTGGAGGTCCAAATAGCTAAACCTTTGTCCGTAGAGCACCGTTGGATCTCATACCAGCTGGCAAGCCAATCACACAGACTTCCTTTTTCCCCTGTCCCTGTGTCTCTCTCTTGCTCGCTCGATCCATGCCGTTGATTCTAACGGTATTCGTACGTTGATTAAACCTTTGGTTTGATAGTCTGTGATTGTAGCTTAAATTGGCTTCTTTGAAAATTTGGTGGCAAGAACATCCAAGTAGTTATTGACAATCCAAATCTAGCATGTCAGTAGTAACGGAGACAAATCCAAATAATATTGTGGATTTTAGTAAGCATGCTGTTAGGGTTTGTTATGGGTTTTTGTGAGAATCTTCTAAAGAGCATAAGGATATTCTGGAAGGAGCATATTCCTCTCCATTGCGAGAATATTCTAGAATTCTGAGAAACTCAAATCGATCTGGGCCGTTGGTTGATCTAGCTAGCAAAGCGTTCCAGTGCTCGTGGCAAAGGCTCCTCTCGTTCCTTCACGAGAGCTCCTTTCGTTTGCTTTTGCTGCTGCTGCTGCTCGCGAATTATCGATCGCTTCGTGCCGAAAGCCTCCAATTGTTTCTTCGCCATTCTCTTGCCAACTTTGTTCCGGCCTTTGGTCTTGCGCTTGGCCTTCTTCTGGCCTTGGATCTTCTTCGACTCGTCCTCCTCTTCTTCCTGCTCCCGCAAGTTCTTCCGGGGGTTCTTGTCCACCGCTCCAAACTTCTGAGGATCCAGCATGATCGTCTGCGGCTGGAGCTTGTCCAGGAGCGCGTGGACCTCCGCTTCGTGCCGCTGCTTCACTGTCTGGAAAGGATTCGCCACGAAGCTGTCGAAGTTTGGCTCTCCCGAGCCGGGGACGAGAATGGATGTCACTCCCCCTGTGTGACCAATCCCAACCACGTCTTCGTATGGACAGAAGCTCAAATCCTGGATGGTCGAGTTCTGGAAGAGCCTGTGCTTCATGTATGGCTTTTCCTGCTTGACTTGAAACGCATCCTTCCAGATCTCGATCGTGGAGCCACTGCCGACCGCGAGCAAGCCTTTCTGGCTTACGTCTAGCGACTTGGTCGACTGAAACGCCATGTAGGAATGAAGAGCCTGCATCTTTCGTATGTCCCAGACTTTGATCCTCGCGTCTGCGCCTGCTGTTACCATATAGCTCCCTCCCATGTCGAATGCCGTGGAAGTCACAGCGCCTCTGTGACACAGCATCCTCACCAAAGGTGTACCCATGTTTGGAGTCCACAGAGTCACTGTCCCGTTGCTGTGGCCCAGGCTCACGACGGCATTGTAAGGATTCGCTCGAAGAACACGGCAAGGTCCCAGTCTCGTAGAGTAATTTGCCACTATCTGACCCGTGCTTGTGTCCTGGTAGTGAAGGACTCCGGCCTTGTTGGTGCTGACTAGGAGAAAGTGGTGTCGAAGGAACTCCAGTTTCAGTGGAGCTACAAATTCCTGCAGCAGAACAAGCATCGATACTTTTGCATGTAAGTTTGATCTACTTACCTTTAGGCAGTGGACTTCAGCGCCCTTTTTATCGTAGATGTAAATATATCTACAAAGAAAAATGAAATCCACGCAAACGTAACAAAGCACTTACTTGCTCTGAGCAGCAGCAAAAAACTGCTCGTTGTGCAGGAACTTGATATCGCGTGTAGTCTCTTTCACTTGAGTTTCCATCATGAGATACTTAGTTTTCCAATCGATCACGGCAAGGTGTCCTTTCCGGCCGCCAATAAGCGCATATCGACCACTGTGAGTGTAATCTATCGTGTAAGGACCCAAGTCTGCAGCAGAAAAAGGAAGAAACAAACCAATAGCTGACGGGAGAAAAAGATTATTTGCAAACCTGGAAGTCTGAGATCAAACGCTTTGTGCGCGCTTGAAATATCAACGTTCTTCACGATATCTTCTTGAGTGTAGTCATAGGTATTTTCTCCATCGTCCGCCTCTAAAGCTCCACCTTCGCTCGGTAGAAGCCACTGAAGAAAGCACAACGTTAAAGCTAGAAATGTATCAAAAGATGGATCAAAAGAGTAGAAGAAAAAAAAAACCTTACTTGCTCTACTTTCGCGGCTGTAAGAGCAGATTTCTCAAACAAATCTTCTTTGGTTTTGAGCTGAGACTTGAGCTTCTTGTCTTTCAATCCCTGCGAACCAAGAATTTTAGCCAAGTAGCATCACAGAAAATAATTTCCATCTTACTTTCACGGAGAGTCGTTCTCCCCGATTGTATTTCCTGATTTTCGGCTTGATAGTGTCGGTGTTCTCATTGCTTTGAGGAAGCTGCAAAGGCAAAGATCAATCACAACCTCTAGAGCTACAATAAATCCACGCACTGCTTTCACTTTGGCTTCAATCAATCGCTTCTCGACGTCGGGATCCAATTCCTTGCGCTGCTTCTTCGGCCCCTCATCCGATTTCTAAGAAGAAACGATTGATCAGAGCGAGCAGAGCTGCGAAACCACTCACATTCTCATCGCTATCGCCGACCTCGAAGAAGCGCTTGTGTTTGCCGCCAGGCGCAACCATTTCCCTCGCATAAACCCTAAATCCTCCTTCCTGCCCTAAAAGAGAAAATGGCGCCCATCGCTAAGCGGAGCTTGAGCTTCGCGATCGCTGTCGCTACGCCGGAGAGAATCACGAAGAAGCCGCGGGCGCGGGAAGAATGGCGGAGCCTCAGCGTTCCTCCAGTGGAGCTCAATCTCGCCCTCACGCTCCTCACAGGTCAGACATTCTTGTGGAAGCAAACAAGTCCCGGCGTGTTCACGGGAGCTCTGGGGCCTCACCTCGTCTCGCTCCGGCAGACGCCGCAGGACACACTCTATCGCGTCCACACGGAATTTCCAGGCGCCAAGGAGGCGCTGCGAGAATTCTTTACGCTGGATACGTCGCTGGCAACTCTGTGGAGCTCTTTCAGTGCCGCGGACGAGCGATTTGCTGCTGTGGCTCCCTACATTCAAGGGGCGAGAGTGCTGAGGCAGGATCCCGTGGAATGCGTCTTCCAGTTTATATGCTCCTCCAACAATCACATCCAGAGGATAACGAAGATGGTGGATTTTCTCGCTACTCAGGGCTCTCCGCTTGGCTGCGTGGATGGACAATCCTTCTTCCAGTTCCCGTCGCTCGAGCAACTATCGTTCCTCACCGAGAAACAACTTAGAGACGCTGGGTTTGGATACAGGTTTCCTTCTTTTCTCTTCTTTGTAGCAAAGATGGTGGCTTCTTCTTTGTTTCTAACTCTTTCTTGTAGAGCCAAGTATATTGTAGGAGCCGTGGAGACCCTGCGTTCCAAGGAAAGTGGTGGTGATGAATGGCTGAAGTCCTTAAGAGAAGGATCGCTAGAACAGGCGACTGCTGCACTGTGTACACTCCCTGGAATCGGTCCCAAGGTCGCAGCATGCGTGTCGCTGTTTTCGCTTGACAAACACGACGCCATTCCAGTTGACACTCACGTATGGCAGGTACATGTTTACATAGTTTTTCGTTCGTGCAATCGTTGCTGCACGAACACAAGACTGGTTCCAACAAAACACAGTTCTTGTGAAGTTTTCTTCAAAGTCTTTGCTAATTATCTTTGTTCTTTGACAGATTGCCGTGCAATATCTCAAACCCGAGCTCGCCGGACAACGCCTCACATCCAAAATGCACAGCGCCGTGGCGCAGGCGTTTGTAAGCCGTTTCGGAGCGTACGCTGGCTGGGCTCACGCTGTTCTGTTCATTGCGGAGCTGTCTTCGCATCAAAAGCTTCTTCCATCACATTTACATACTCAGAGGAGGCCACGAACGAGTAAAAACAGCAAGCGCAACGAAGATGTTGTTTCTTTGTAAAATGGTAAAACACCCTCACTTCCTTGCTGGTCTTCGGTTTTCTCACAGCGCTTTCTTTCACAGCTTTTTTCCAGCAGTTGCAAACTAAAACAAAGACACTTATTTCTACTGAATACTGGTAATGTTTTGCACTTTGCGGGCGCAATGCTAAGATGCTTATGTTTCCGTTTTTCCTTAAGGATTGAAGACGGTGATAACAAATGAATAGCTCAGGTCCTTGGTACAGAACACAGGTCCAAAGTTTGCTGCATGCGCCTCGCTATTCTCGCTTGACAAGCACCACGCCGTTGCATTTTGACGCTCGCCTGCCAGGTTCGCTCTCACACACATTTTAAACTTATCGCTTCGTTGGTCAAGCAGCCGGCAACGTCCTTTGATGAGCAATGAGAGTGGCACAAAGACTGTGGCTTTCAGGGGAATCTAAGCTATCAAAGTCGTTCAGGCTCTCGGTCACGGTCATTCTCTTTTCTCTTTTTCTTTCGCTTTTCTTTCTTCCAAACATTCGAACTTCGCTGATACTCCGTTCTGTTTTGGTGTCTTTGACAGATTGGTTCGCTCGTCTTGAAGCCAACGCTGGCAAGTTCTATTCATTGCGGAGCTGTCTCGGCATCAGAAGCTTCTTCCTTCACACTTACAAACCCAGAGGAGGACGGGACGAGTAAAAGCAGCAAGCGACACAAAGCTGTATCTTCGTCGTAAAAAACCACACCACACCACTACCATCAGTCATCGGTACTCTAAACATCTCTTTTCTTTCGCTCGCCCGCATTGCTTTCCCGCATAACAATTGGTATTAAACTCGTTTGTTTTGCAGCTCTCTCAAAGCAGTGGCCTTCGAGAAACTTTGCCTCGGGATACCAAAGCTTCCAGGCCGTGCCGAGAGCGCACTGGCCGTATATTCCCACGCACGCCATGGCCCGTGACGTCGTACGGAACAACGATTTTGGCGAAAGCGACTTGGTTTTTGAGTGAGCCACCCGTTGACATTCTACATTCCTTCTGACTATGCTGTTGTGTGTGTATGCTTGTACAGGCGGCCAGCTATACATACACACACACACACGTATACGCATACGCATACGCTCCAAGCAGTGCTATCCTTTTCCTCTCGCTCTCTCTCGGGCAGCCAAAGAGGAGGCTTTGATGGTTTCTCCCCTCTCCTCACTGCCTCTCAGCACTTCCTTCTTTTCTTTCTCCTCTTCCACTTCAATGCTGCTCACTTCCAGGCTCGTCTGGTTTCTCCTTCTCTTGCAGCTCGTTTGCTCGTCCAGATCAGGTACTTCGAAAACATCTCTTGTTTCTCTAGCCTCACCTCGCGTCTTTTGCAGATCTCTTCTTCTCGCAAACTGGAGTAGCAGAGAGCACCGTGGCCTACGCTGAAGCCAGAGCGAGCAGTAGTAGCATCAATCGCAGCAATGATGCTGTTTGGAGGAGAATGGTAGAGGAGACAAGAACGCAGCAGGAGGAAGACATCGATTACATTTACTCGGGCTATGAAAGGCGGCCTCCTCGGACGCGCCGTTCTAGACATTTTCCTTAGCAGCAGCTGCTGGAAGAAGCTGTAAGCGACTGAACGATGCTTTGTCTTTCAAGTCTCATCTTTGTGTCTTTTGTTTCCTTTGCAGACTTTAGACCACTACATGCAGGCGCAGAAAGAATGTCATGGATTCATCTCGCTCCCTCCGGTTTTTTCCTCTCCATCTCTCTCTTGGAAATCTTTCGCAGGCCGCAGCGAGAGAGATCTCTCTTCCAAATTCCATGTCTCGCCGCTGGCCGTGGTGAAAGGACGTGAAGAAAAGACCGTGGCTTTTGTCGCCCTGTCTGGAAAAGGGAGCTCAAATTTCCTCGTCCATAGCTCTTTTCTTTAAGGACGCAGCCTTGAGCAAAATGCTGCCTAGCTAGACCTTTGTATTTGTATACTACTGCCAAAAAGGAGGCATATTTTTTAATTTTTTTCTATGCTTTGAAAAGACCAGCTATTTTTTGTTAAGCAGATTTAATTAACTTAATCATAAATTCTTAAAACAACATAGTCGTGTTTGACCTAGGGCGGGAAAGAAAAGTAAAGGTTGAGAAGCCCTGATTGATTCACTAGATCTGATTGAGCTGGAGTAGGCGATGGATCTGGATTCGTGGTTTGGAGTGGCCAGCGCTCTCGCCACGCATCCGGTGGCCGTCGCGATCCAGATCCAGGTAAGTGACTCCTTGATTCAATGTGCATTGCCAATGCTCTTCCAGGGATGCGTCATTTACTTGGCGCTGGCGATGGGCTGGGCATTCGCGACGATGATAAGGTCAGTGATTGATGGTCTTTTGCGCAATGGATTCTCGTGCGGTGGGGATTGACATTGCCAGCATTGGATTCTATAGGGGGCGGGAGCTCGCGAAAATGAAGAGGGCGCAACGAAATGGAAATAGTCTTGCATTTCTCAACGTTGATGTGGAGAGTTTCGAGCATGGTGCTCAAGCGATGCTACCACGCGTGACTGTGGTGATGCCCGTCAAGGGATTCGGCGAACACACGATTAGAAATTGGCGGAGCCAGGTAGAAAATCATGCTCTTCGCTCCTTGGTTTTCTAGTGCTAATTTTTCTTTCTTTTTTCTAGCTTATATCGTTGTATGGAGGCCCGCTCGAGTTTATCATCGTCGTCGAGAGCATGAAAGATCCAGCTTATGCGGCGATATCAAAGTTGATCTATGAGCTCAAGGTATCGTATCCTTCTTTTCCTTGAACTTGTGAGAAGATTTTATCGCGCATGCTGACACTTGCAGGATGATGTCCTGGCAAAAGTTTTGGTAGCCGGCTTGTCCGCAACTTGCAGCCAGAAAATTCACAACCAGCTGGTAAGTTCGTCGTCTTCACAGAATGTTTCCTTAAAAGAAAATCTTCGTGTTTGGTTTTAAAGGCTGGAATTTCTGCCATGCACAAGGAGAGCAAATACGTTCTCTTTCTGGACGACGACGTGCAGCTTCACCCCGGCACAGTCGGAGCGCTCGTTGATAAAATGACTCCGGAGGTAATTTGAGCTCATGTTTTCCGTCTGGATCGTCACCAGGCGTGCAGATTTTTGTTCTCACAGGCTATCCGTTTGACATACCGTCTGGAAGCCTCGGAAGCTATTGCATATATGAGTACCATATGGTAAACACTTTGAAAACTTTGCTCTCCAGATACTGATATCAAGACGATTATCAGCCCTGTTCAATTGGTTTTGCGACCGGTGGAAGAACTTTCTTTTTGTGGGGCGGATGCATGATGGTATACCGAGATTCTCAAGTTTTCTCGGAGGGTTTAACAAGTGATGTTTTAATTCTAGATGCATGCAGAAGATTTCCGTCAAGATCGTTATAATATGGTGACAGGGCTGCGAAATGGTGGCTATTCCGACGACATGACTCTTGCTGCTGTGGCCGGTAACAAAAAAAACAAGAAAAATCGCGAGTTTTGTTTTGATACGTGAAACTGATGGTCGCAGGTGCACATCATCGAGTAATCAGCTCACCTCCCGTGGCTGTGTTCTTCCATCCACTGTCTCAAAACTTAAGCTTTTCGAGGTGATAGTTTAGTTTTGAGATGGTGTTAACGGTGCGCTCTCCTTTCTCGCAGGTACTGGAACTATTTGCGAAAGCAGACATTTGTTCTGGAGTCCTACAACTCGCAAGTTAACTGGCTTATGAACCGGGCATTGTTCTTCTCGCATTGTTGGCTGTCGTGGAGTTTCGTAGCTCCATACGTGCTCGTGATCGCGCAACTGGCCGTGGCATTCAGAGCGATGCTTTGTCCATCTCCGGATGCAGCTATATTGTACAGGACAGGTTTGTCTTCTGTCCCATTCACTCACGGATCACCTTTTTTATTTTATTTTTATCTTCTGGCAGGACTTGTGATGGCTGGGATTGTAGCCATTTGCTCCGTGATTGAGTCACTGTCGTTGCAGCGTCTCTCGGCCGTGATAATAAGTCTCTGCAACGAGCTATCTCCTGAAAAGCCGCCAGTGTCCATCAAGACTTACAACTGGTTTATGGTGAGCACAACTTTCAAAGAAAACTATCATACAGATCAGTGCCTTGTCTTTGACAGGTTTTTGTTGCAATGGTCGTGGACAATTTTCTCTATCCCGTGTCTGCTGTCTATTCTCACTGGTCTCAGTTCATCGACTGGGCCGGAGTACGGTACCATTTACGACACGGCAAAGTATACCAGGTCGGACGCCCTATCCTTTCTCTTTGTTCCCTTTGGCTGATCGGTCAAAGCTTGCTTACAGATTGAAAGACCATCTTTGTTAGCTGAAAGGCAGGCGTCCGTGAAGAAAACGAAAACCAAAGCCTTTCCACACAAAAAACACTTGTGGTGCCAATAACAACGAATACTATTGATTCATTCTTTGATTATTTCTCGACGCGGCCATAAACATGAGGTGAATGGAAGCTGGATTTTTTCTGTATATCAATTGCTTCTCACTGCTATTTCAGCTCCAGTATGGTGTTGATTCTTCGGGACTTTCAAGCGAAGATCCCGTGAGCTGCAAAGCACTCTCGAAGAAGCCACTCCACTGCGTGGGAGGTTCCACAAGCGGAGGAGCAAACTGGTTGATGATGTCCCTGAGCGTGATGACTCCCACGATGCAAAGCTTGTCATCCACCACGAAACTCCTATCGCTCCTGGCATGGACAAGCTTCTCCATGGTCTGTTTGAGCGTGTCCCCGGCCTTAGACTTGACAGGATCCAGCATTCTTGGAAGAGCTATGGTCCCCAGGCTCAGTGTTCCCGCACATATCGATGCGCCGATCTCTTCTTGCAAAGGTACATCGTTGCTGAGCACGTCACTCTGGTTCCATTCTGCTTCCACCTCCATGTACTTCTCCACCGTGAGCGTTCTAGACAAACAACGAAGTAGAAACGTTGAATAGTAGTTTTCCATACCTTCTTTGATGAAAGAGCTCGGGTTTTTCGATCATGAGCAGCACATCCGTGCCTCGAACATTTCCAATGAGACGCCTGCTCTCTCTCTCCACAACAGGGACGCTACTTATCCTGAACTTCCACATTGTTGTCATTGCGTCTAGAATCACGTCGTCGTGATTAACGCAGACAACCTCTGATGCTCCAAGTCCTAGTTGTGCTCTGTCAGAAAAACAAGAGCCTGGTTTAGAAAAAACTTGAATAAATGTTCCTGTTGAGCATACCTCAACTTTCTGACAGTTTCATTTACATTGCTCAAGCAACCCAGTCGACTGAACGCATATATTGATTTACGCACGCAAGAAGGCAGCACCAGGCAACATGGGATGCAAAAGAGAAAGAAAAATCGACTACATACCGTAGCTCCGTGAGAGGCTTATTCGCAATAGTATCAAACCAAGTGAGTCCACTACATTGAAGAAGCAGCTGTACTGCAGCGTTCTGGAAAGAAAAGAAAAGAATAGTGCCGACTCAAAAGACATTGTTCTCAATTACCTGGGTGACGAAGCCTCTTACTAATCGATCTTGACTATCGATCACCGGGACAGCTTTAAGCCTGTGTCTAGACAGTAGCAGCAATACGTGCAAGAGTGTATCATCGTGCTTAACCGGTAGAAATGGTCCCCAGCGAAACGACTGTGCTAGAGTTCCCAACTACACACAGGCACAAATAAGTTTTTATCGGTTCATTAACAAAATCGAGATTACCTGGAAATTTATACCTTTGCAGATTTGACAGCATCGAGCTGTTGAATCAAGTCAAGAAATCCGGACTGCACAAATTTTGCTCCCATTCCGCCTTCATCCTTTTCACTGTATTCCTTGTCCTTGGCCTGTGACGCAGTTTTGGTTCGTTGAGTGATCACTAATCCTGCCACCTCTGCTTGTCTCTCCTCGACCTCTAGCTCCTGAGAAAAAAGGAAGTCATAAGTTGGCCAAAAGGAACAAAAAGAGAAGAAGTGACAAACCTGAAGAGCCCAAAGCACCATCCCTGAAAAATCCACGAGTCCAATGTATTTATCAGCCAGTGGTGAATTTACTGGCAATCGATCGTCTCGCACAGGTGCGCCTAAAAGCTTGTTTTTGTACAGGCATGTGATCGCCGAAACCATCGTGTCACTGGCTTCAAGCTCCACCACTGTAGCCACGAACCAAAAAGAAGAAAAAGAAACAAACAGGGACCAAGAAAAAAATAAAAATGTAAGAGACCGTTCTAGGCATGCGACAAACACAAACATGAAACCATACCTCTATCGTTATCAATCCCTGGGATGGAGAACAAAGGGACCCGATCAAAGAAAACCTTGAGAGCTTCAGTAGGCTCCAAGCTGCTGTTCTCGGTATCTGTTCTCGATCCCGCTTCAATGGAGTGGATTACCGCCTCCTTCTTGTTCTCCAGGCTAGAATCGCCGTCTGCGACGAGCTCCTCGAGCGTCTTGATGTCCATGGCTCGAAATCGGTCGAAATGCTGCCGCAATCTGGAGGATCGCCAGGCAATCGCGTGAGTGATCCATCTAGCAACAAGAAACTTACTCGCTTAGATCCTTGGATCGCTCATCCAGCGCCTAAAGACCCGCAGCAATTGCCCCAAGTGACATGTGGACAAAGTCGCCCTAGATTATATTCCGAAATAACGGCTACGAGATGGACGGACAGGATCGAAGCACGGGGGATAAGATTTAGGGTTCTAGCTGAGCGATGCTCGCTGCTGAGGCGTTCGCGAGCGATGGATGGCGATTTCCTCACAGGGAGTGTGGATTTCCGCGCAGCAGGCGGAGGATTTACTGCGTCGCGGTGAGGGCCGCCGTGAGGGAGGAGGATGATCAAGAGAAGCCGCAGGAGAAGACGATATTTGTTTTGTCCGAGAAGCCCAATCGAAGAGCTGCGGTGGAGGAGGTCGTGAAGCGGGCTAATCGCGAGAGTCTTGCGGATGAGATTATCCACCAGGAGGAGGATGGGGAGAATGTCGCGCACGACGGCATGAAAGTCGCGGCCGATCATCGCAGTGGTAATTCTTTCTTGGATTTCTTGCTCTCTTTCGTGGCTGATTGCTCCAAATTCCAAGCAGGATATGTTGCGCTCATAGGAAAACCGAATGTGGGAAAGAGCACCCTTCTCAATGGTATCATTGGACAAAAGCTTTCCATTGTCACAGCAAAGCCGCAAACAACACGCCATCGAATTCTGGGAATTTGCTCTGGTCCCAACTATCAAGTGAGTCTCTTGTTCTTTCTTTTTTTTCTCGTGCGTGTGTTCTTGGCTGCTATATCGACTGATGGTTTTTTGGTTTGTGCTCTCCTCTCAGATGATACTGTATGATACGCCTGGAGTGATCACAAAACAAATGCACAAGCTCGACGAATTGATGATGAAAAGTGTGCGAAGCGCCACTATCAATTCCGATTGCCTCCTCCTGATCGCGGATATTTGCCATCCTCCTGAGCAAGTAAGTTACAGTCTGTTCTTACAAAAACATGACTCCTCTCCTGCTCGCTCTCTCAGGTTCTTGGGACTCTGGATGAAGGTGCTGTCAATCTCATAAAATCCAAGCCAACGCTCCTGGTGCTCAACAAGAAAGACAAAGTGAAGCAAAGCGAGATACAAAAGAAGCAAGAGGTACCGTTTGTTTGAATATGTCTGTGTGTTGAATTCTTGCAGTGTTTGTTCTGATAGCAGGCTTGTGAATGTTAGTGGTATGAGAAGAACAGCGGGATGGACGAGGTCATACCAGTGAGCGCCAAGTTTGGGCTTGGAATCGAAGAAGTGAAGCAGTGGCTGGTTTCCAAGCTTCCACTCGGCCCCGCATACTATCCACGGGTAAGGCTGGACTACTTCAGCGATTAGAGTAAGACTTCTATGCAGGATATTGTGAGCGAGCATCAAGAACGATTCTTTGTCTCGGAGATCTTCCGCGAGAAGATCTTTCAACTATATCGGGAGGAGATCCCATACTGTTCTCAGGTGATTTCGAATAAGTTTATTGCTTGCATCAAACTTCTCTTCTGTCTACCAGGTCAATGTAGTGCGCTACGTCGAAAGGGAAGCACCCGCAAAGGACTTTATAGAGATCGAGATTTTAGTCGAGAAAGAGTCGCAGAAGGCAATTTTGCTGGGGAAGGTATGTGAAGAAAGAAAAATCCAGTCTGATCTCATTGAGTTCTTAAAGAATTTCAGGAAGGAAAGGCTTTAAAAACTCTGGCTACTGCTGCTCGTCTGGACATCGAGGATTTTGTTGATAGGAAATGCTACTTGGAGGTATTTGAGTTCATGTATTCCTTAATCTCTTATGACTTTGTCTTAGCAGATCAAAGTTAAAGTGAAGGAAGATTGGAGAAAGAACGAGGAGCTTTTGGAGCATTTTGGTTACTCTGGAAAAATTGCTAGTGCTTCATTATAATCCTGGTTTAAGTTGAGTATATCCATTTAGAGTTTCATTTTCTTTATTATGTTTATTATTATTAGTATTAGCCCGAAACTAAATCCAATCTGATAAAAACTAAAGTCAAGAGAGGCAATATTGGATCCACAAGTAAGCAGTGTAATGCATTCTTACTTGTTCTTGCTTGACACTACTTATGCATAATTTTTGAAGGATTGCCACTTTATAAACTTGCCACCTTATTTGCCTAGCATGACACATGGGGTGGAGATGGTTTATCAAGTTTGATTTCGTATAATAGACGAAGTTTTGATTTGTCAACCATTTATTTGCATTTCAGACAAAGTTTGTTATAATAAAGTTGTGACCATTCTGAAGTGATGTATTGTATGCCAAAGTGGGGCAACATTCTCTTGGCAAAATGCAATGTCTAAATTAATTCATTAGACAGCTCTCTGATTGTGATGCATGTAGATGTCATTTTTGGTTTGGTCAGAAAATTATGAGCAGGCATTTATAAACCCATGACTAGTCCAATTTTAGTCTGATTATGCTTGTACTTTTGATCTTGCTAGTGACATTGGTCTTAACAGTGTTTTAATGCAAGAGAATATGAGTGTGCTTGCTAAACATCATCCAACTGCATACATTGGTTATACATTTTAGCCAATAAAGATAAATTACTCCATAGCATAGAAGGATTAAGTGCTAATTGAGGGGAGAATTTGGTTGGCTTTATTATTTGTTAGGCTATGAAATTTCAAATTTACAAGTTTGAAATACTTCATAGTAATGCTGCCATCTTCCCTCTCTTTTCCTTATGTTCTTGAGAAGTGAATTGTGATAGCATCAGTGAATTTTCTAGATGTTGTGCTTAAACATTGTCCAGATGATACCTTAAAAATACTTTTGAGCATGATGATAGATTGGTGTGTTTCTTTCCATATGAAAGGGCTTCCTTCTTGACATCTAAATGGTCATAAAAACAATCCTCACCAAGTAAAAAAAGTTGTCTTTTAAGGTGATATTAAGAATATATAAATATCAAAATAATAATTCATCAGAAAATTATGTAAAATTCTCAAATCTATGAAGCGTTTAAAAATACAACTTAACCTTTTAAGCCTCAAGATAATTTAGCTTTTCACCTCACTGAAGATTTTTTTTTTATAAATATAAAAAAATTTCCTTCTCATCGCAGTGTTCGTCAAAGATCCTGCGAGCTTCGGCTAGTCTCCCAGATCTCCCGAAAGAATTGACGAGAGAGGTGCGGACAAACCCGTGCGAGATAAATCCAGCCTCCATCACGAGCTCGTTCCAAAGCCCAAGAGAACTCTTCGCTAGCAGGAGCCTTGAGTAGTAACTTCGTTTGGCTGGAATCCCTCTAGTTGCATTCTTCTGTAGAGGCCACCTTGGTCGAGACTCCCGAGAAAACTCTCCGTGCTCCGTCCAAATCCCCGCACCGGCTATAAAAGTTAATCAGTGCTGCAGCTACGAAGCTGTTCGAGTCGAGTCCACAGCCCTGTAAACCCACACGGATCTCCCGTCCCTTTGACAAATCTCTCGAGCTCGAGCAAGCTTCCAAAATGGTGACGAAACTCCGCCGATTTGGAGCCGTCCCTTCCAGCAGCATTGTCCGGAAGATTTGGAAAGTGTCACTGGAACCATCCTGTTCTTGAGAGAAGGCCGAGAGAATACCGTTCCAAGTCGCTAAGTCGCGGTAAACGAGCCTATCAAACACTCTCTTGGCGAGCTCTGGACTTCCATACCTCGGGTACATCCCAACCAGTGCATTCCGGACCACAGCATTCTCGCGATCCTCCTGTGGATCCCAATCCCCAGCTCCAGATCCCTTGGAGCCTGACAGAGATTTAAGATCGTGACGAGCGTGAAGTGGTCGGGCTTGACTCCATCTCTTTGCACTGGAAGTAGAAAATCATGGCTCATTCTTCATCACCCTGCTCGATGAATCCGGCGATCATTCTAGTCCAAGCTATCACTCCCTGCGAAGGAAGACGAGAAAAGACGTCCCTGGCGTCTTCCAGCGCGCCACATTTCAAGTACGTGTCGAGGAGCTTACCCGCGAAGAAAAAATCTCCATCGTCAAGCCTGCCATCGTCATCGCTGGAAGAGATCAGTCGATGGAGCCTCTGGACCTGCGGCAGCGCCTTGAAATGCCTGATCCTCTCGCGATCTGGCGATGATTCCGCCGCCTCCAGAAGCGCTTCTAGGTTTCTGGCCCTCGAGGAGCGCACGACACCGGCAATGCAGCAGAAACCTAGGCCTAAGGATCTCTTCCGGCCATGCACATGCCGCCCGACACTCCATAGCATAAACCCTAGCTAGCCGTAAGCCCTAGTTTTGAAAGTGGCGGGAATTCGAAATCTAAAATATCGACCTTTCTATCCCGCCAATTTTCCTGGTTTAGGGTTCTGCTCTTCGGCTTTGGCGACGATTGGGGCGATGTCGGGAACCTCCGGACGAGGAGTCCTACTGCAAGCGGCGGCTCTCGGATGGGCGCCTGATGCTGGATGTCGTCGGTAATATCATTCTCCTTGCTCGAATCTCATCTTCTTTTGGGCGATCCGCAGCTTAGGCGTTGGGAATTGGTGTCTCGAATTTCCAGGAGGGAGGACTGCCAGCTCGATTGGATCTCGGCAGAACCCATACCCTCTCATGCCTCAGATCCAGTGGCTCGTGAGAGATGCTCTTGGGAATCAATCTCTAGGTAAGTTGGTTATTTTATCTCTCCCATTTCTACTTGGTTTTTCACTCAGCCAAGATCACCAGCCTTTGCCTAACGAGGAATCGGGTCTCTACAACAACAGATACGCATTCTTCCGCGAGAACAAGACGGAACGCACTGTAATCCCCCACGTCGTGGAGAACATCACAGCGACTGTTCTGGTAACTTTTCCTCTAGACTGATGTGTTTTAACCTCACCAATACTTTTCCTCGTGTAGTTCCTTTCAGAGCGGCCAACTTCATGGTCTTCAATCTTCCACCTCTGGGATGCTCGCCCGAGTTCCTGACCAGGTTCGCCAGGCCATGGGCTGCCTACAGTTCTTCACAACGAGCTTCTCAGAGTCACCATAGACGTGCTGCGAGCCAGCTTTGGGGACTCCGTCCGGAGGCTTATCTACGTCGCCATGGCCGCAATGGTAACCGGCATGCTATACGATCCTCTCCTCTAATTACGAATCGTTCTTGCTTTGCTTCCAAGGTTTCAGAACGGACCAGAAGCTTGCTGCGGGACTGGAAACAACTATGATCCGCGAGTTCCCTGTGGAACGCAGGGAGTGGTCAGTGGCCTGTTCTAGGCCAAAGCACTACGTGAGCTGGGGCGGCATCCATACCACCGAGGCTTTCAGCAAGGCCGCAATCCACTCGGTCCTTTCATCGAGCCTCAAACGCAGCTTGGGTGCCGCTTCAACTTTAGCGAGTTTTGAAGCGTTTTTGTAGAGTTTGCGCTGTTTGTGAATAAAGATAATTTCCATGACAAGAACTTGTAGCTTCTACAATCACTGCACACTCTAATCAAATCCACACTTCACACACTAATCTAATGTTTCTTCTTCGCCATCTTTCAATAGGGATATGTTGCGGCCTTGCTTCTCTTCTCTCTGTGTAATCCTTTCTGTTGAGATATATGTTGTGGCCTTGCTTCTATAGTCTCTATGTAGTCCTTTCGGTAGACATACATGTTGAGGCCTTGCTTCTCGCTTTTCTGTGTAGTCCTTTTGGCAGATATGTCTGATCCATTGCAAATTCCTTGCTTCTCGTTTTTGTGTGTAGTCCTTTCCTTGGAGATCTCCTTTCTTAGAGATGTGTTGTTGTGTAGTTCATTCTAGAGAGAGTCTTCTTCATAACCTTGTTGCACTCTCAATAATGATCGGAAGCCACAGCAGCATTGTAGATGAATACTTCGTCCCTGTTCCTCTCGCGGCGGCGGAGGCACGACCGCACAACCAGGAGCAGCAGGACAAGAATAACCAACACGAGCCCCACGAGAGGAATCCACACGACCGCTGCCACTCCTGCAACCGCTGGAGCCGAGTTCCCGCCATGAGGAGGAGGAGGAAGAGCAGGGCTGATGGAGCCACTGCTGTGGCTGCCGGTAGCTGGAACGTAACCAGGCTGCCACTCTATGGTTGGATCCCAATCCCAATCCCACGTCCACGGATTCCCTCCGCTGCTAGTTCCATCACCATTTGCGGGATGCTCGCTGGTTTGATGAGCAGGAGGTGTCTCCGAACCAGCACTCCACGGTGTAGGAGGTGGTTTGCTCCTGAAATACCAAAAACTTTTAGCAGGTGGCAAACAATGAAAAACCCATAGTACCTGAAAGGTGGCGAGCGAGCTGAAGGCGTCCTCCCGCCTGAAGGTGAGCCGCGATGTGGAGGAGCCGTGCCATGAGTTGCAGGGCGGCTGTGTGGGGGAGATTGAGGTGGCGGCCCCTTCTCCCTATGGCGACCATGATCCCTTGCTGGAGGAGGAGGAGGCGGTGCTGCTGGATGATCCCTTGCTGGAGGAGGAGGAGCCCTGTGCTCTCGACTGTGAGATGGTGGAGGATGAGGCGCCACTGCCCGAGGAGGAGCGTTGCTTGGTGAAGCTCGCCTCGGTGGAGAATGACCCGGTGGTGGTGTATTAGCACGGGGAGCATGATGCCGTGGTTTGCTCCTGGAACATCCAACGTTAACAGGAGCCATAGAGCAATGAAAGCCATACCGTGATCGCCTCCGGTGATGAGGTCCAGAGCCACGATGTGGAGGAACATGTCCCTGCTCCCGAGGAGGAGCTGCTGGGCCGTGATGAGCTTGTGGCGGCATCCCCTTGTGGCGTCCTGGAGCATTGTTGCTGCTTGCTTGAGGAGGAGGAGCCTTGCTCTCAGATGGTGGTGCTAGCGGACGATGAGACACTGGCCGAGGAGGAGGAGGAGCCTTGCTCTCAGATGGTGGTGCTAGCGGACGATGAGACACTGGCCGAGGAGGAGGAGGAGCCTTGCTCTCAGATGGTGGTGCTAGCGGACGATGAGACACTGGCCCAGGAGGAGGAGGAGCCTTGCTCTCAGATGGTGGTGCTAGCGGACGATGAGACACTGGCCGAGGAGGAGGAGGAGCCTTGCTCTCAGATGGTGGTGCTAGCCGATGATGAGACACTCCCCGCGGAGGAGGAGGAGGAGTCTCTTGACCGTGAGCAGGTGGCAGTGGTGGCGACACTGCCCGAGGAGGATGAGGAGCCGCTTGTGGTGGCGACACGGCCCGAGGAGGATGAGGAGCCGCTCGAGAAGATCGTGGCGAGCTCGGTGGTGCCAGTGCAGATCCTGCTACTCGTGGTGACCGAGGAGAAACTGCTCGTGGAGGAGTTGCTTGCCCTGCTTGCCGAGGAGGAGGTGGCACTGCACCAGGACCTGCTCGTCGTAGCGCTCGTGGTGACAGTGGCAGCGTCTTTACAGCTCCAGCAGGCCTCCAAGGAGGAAGAACTCTTGCCATCGTTGATCACACAAAAAAACAAACGCAAACTTACTTGCTCTCGCTTACTCGCAGGACTAGGGCTTACTTTACTCGCACGACAAGAACCCCTAAAAATGGTATCTTTTAAGAATCTATTTTAATTTTCATCTGTTAAATGCGAGTAATCCCTGGCAATCACTTCCAGTGCATTGAACATTCCTTACTCCATATCCAAAGAATTCTGCCCAGCAGTGCCAGGAAAGTGTTTCACTGGGCGCGACTTCTTGACAATACTTCTATGGAGATCCAGTCCTATGCTTGGTTCTATCAAAGAACTATAGCTTTTCTACCAAAATTATTTAAATTTGCACTCTCCACATCTCACTCACAAGAGGTTTTTACAATGGTAGTTTCGTCTCAACTCCTGCAGAATGGAAAGAATGAAAAAGAAGTCCGATCACCATATCTGGATAAGACAATCATTCTGAGACATGTAGAAGAACTTCTCTCACCACACCATGCTTCTCATCTTGAGGCATGAGACTGGCAGTGATAGAAATAGCCAGAGTGGATCCAGCTTCCACCTAGTGAGGTTGTAAAGTTGGTGACACATTGGAGGAAGAGAGTGGCCAGAAGTGGGGGGTGTGGACAATAGCTGCTGCATTATAAGCTAGATACAATTGAGTTCTCGGGGAGCTGGAGGATTGATTGGTCATCAACATCAATCATTTAAGAAGATTAAAATTCTTATAAACAAATGTCAAAGAGATATTAGAAAATAGTGTTATCCAAAAATCTTAGAGTTTTTAGGCATGTGAACTTTATTTTGTGATGAATCTTGGAGAGTATTTGGTTTTAAATCAATTATCACCCATTAAATATTGTGACCATCTTAGATATATTTTCTGGATTGTTTGAGGATAAGTCATTATTTCACTAAGTTTGATTTTGTTTTTGGGTATTGACAAATGTCATGGCCAAAAATGTTTATAATACTATTTTTTTTACATTATTTGGTTTGTATAAGTTTTTGATGATGCTATTAGGTTTGAATAATGTTGTAGCAAATTTTCAATAAATGATGGATGAAGTTCCTTGCAATATGCCAAAAGTGATTATTAACATTATTGATGATATCTTTATCCACTCAAAGAAGAAATGGGAGAAGTAAATCTATAATGTTCATAAGGCATTTGATTAGTTGCAGGAAGTTGGTTTGAAAGTGAAATGGTCAAAATGCATATTTGGATATAAGGATATGACTTATTTAGATATTACATTTCTTGCAAGGGTTTGTAAATTAATTTTATCAAACTTGTGGTTATATTGAAATTCCTATTTTGAAATATGTAGTGCTTTCTTGACAAAGTGTAATATCTTGGTCTTTTTATTAATCATTATTGTAAGCATTATTAAAGTCATTAACATCATTTTTTATTTGGTTTAAGAAGTGCAAACAAACATTTATAGAACTCAAAGAAGTGTTAACAAATCCTTTAGTTTTAGCATATCTTGATTATACTTAACATTTCATCTTATGCAACAATGCTTATTATATTGGTCTCAGAGATGTGTTGATGCAAGAAATCATAAATGTGCTTGATCAATGTTATCCTATTATGTACATTATCTTTATATTACAATTAGTAGAGGTGGACTACTCTATGACAAAGGACTGTCTAATAGCAATTTAGAATTTTGAAAATTTTTATACATACTTACATAGTTCTTGGATATGGCAATCATATTATACTCATTTCATTATTGAAGTGGAATAATTAAATTGCTTAATGGGTTTATATTTAATATATATGACTTTGAGGTTGTTCATCACCCAAGGAGTTTTATAGCTAATGATAACAATTTTTCTCAAGCTCCTCTCCCTTCTTTCTTCTTATATTTTTAATAAAATTATTGTTTTAATATCAATGAATTTTTTAGACAAAGATTTTGTGCTATTATTGAAAGGGAAGCCCTCACCATAGAACACACCAGTCTCTCATCACTCAAGTGCTGCTTATGTATGAACCTCCTAAAACGCTAACAATGGGGTATATACCCCCTCTCCCAGAATATCCCTCACATCCGTTAAATATTCTAATAGTGGAATATTTTAGGGAATCTCACTCAAAACTACACATATCCCAATAGATGACCACAGGGGATTGCACCAAACTTTATTATGTGTGAAAAACTTATGATTGCTGCAATTTGATGTGCTGTGTTGGCACCACTACAAGAAGAAAATCCAAAGAAAAAAGAAAGAAAGAAGCAATCATCCTCAATAGAGTTTGTTGATTGGGTTTGTGTCCATAAGGTGAAAAGATAAATTACTCTTTTGGATGAGGTTTATGAGACTTAAAAGGGTTATGTTGTATTTTCAAACATTTCATAGATTTGAGAATTTTACATAATTTGATGATGAATTATTGTTATATATATATATATATATATATATATATATATATATATATATATATATATATATATATATATATATATATATATATATATATATATATATATGTATATATATATAAATGAATGAGTGAGTGAGTGAGTGAGAGTGAGAGAGAGTGAGAGAGAGAGAGAGAGAGAGAGAGAGAGTGGGTGGAAGTCATGAGGATTGCCTTTATAGGAACAATGAAAATGCGAAACATTGATGCATTCATAATAATAATAACAAACCTAGAGGATCACCAAAATGAAATGGATTGTCCATTGGGTGATAAGGAGCTTGGTTGTCATTAAGAATTGTACAAGTTGTAAAAACTCCAATGAAAAGTTTATAATATAGCAAATGATATATATCTCAGTTCATAAATTAATTAATATTTTCGCAGATGGTACAATTTTTAGTTATTTTATTCTATAAATTATGTATGATAGAAAACAAAATCTACTTCTCCTGATAAAATACAATACAACAATAAATTTGTATAATAAGAATGAATGATAGCTCACATAGTGATGGAGAACAATATTTGTTAATTGTATATATTTAATATCCACTTAGAACCATATTACCATCAGTTTTGAAGCCTTAATCTGGAGCCATATTGTCTATCATTACCAGTATTACTATTCCAATATAAATATCATTATGCCAGGCTCCATAATGGCAAAAATAGTCCTCTCCAGAAATATAATGCAACAATCATATAATTCTTGAGGGATTTTTTCTATAATCTTAGTCTTGTTTATAAGGTTTTCTATTGACATCTTAGGTATTTTATACTCTAGAAAATATTGGCACTAAAGCATCATAACCTTAAAATTTGGTATAAATTAGTTTTTATATCTTCTCTACTAGCACCACTATTTCTATTAAATTGACATCCTTCATCATTAATAGGGTTGAGAAGCCATGTAACTACAAGCACTCAGAATGACACAATATCGTTAAAATATGCAAATGCTTTTCCATATGCATAACTATATTTTTCATTAATAGAGTCCATCACCAGATCTAATGTAGACAAGATAACATCCTGTGGACCACCATTTGCAGTCCCAACATTCTCAAGGTTATCAACGCAAACAAATAAAGAAAAAAAACATAGCTGAGAAGCGAATGCAAGACGACCTCATAGATAGAGAACGATCATTAGTAGATATTTTTTCTAAAAAAGAAAAATCTGTAAAAAAAAAACAAGAGGAAAGAAAGATCATCCCAAATGCAAACCTTTCACTCTCATTTCACTTTCATCCTTTGCCTCTGACTAACTCTGCCATCTCTGCTTGTCTCTCCTCGACCTCTAGCTCCTGAGGAGAAGGAAGTCAAAAGATGGCCAAAAGGAATAAACCTGAAGAGCCCATAGCACCATCAGCCAGTGGTGAATTTACTAGTAGTCTATCGTCTCGCATGGGTGCGTCTAAAGCTTGTATTTGTAGAGGTATGTGATTGCCGAAACCATCGTGTCACTAGCTTCAAGCTCCAAAAAGAGAACACAAAAAGAAACAAGCAGAGACCAGAAAGAAACAAGCAGAGACCGTTTTAGGCGGAGAAAACAAACATGAAACTAAAACTCTTATCGTTATCGGACGAATTGGTGATGAAAAGTGTGTGAAACGCCACTATCAAGTCCAATTGCCTCCTCCTGGTTGCGGATATTTGCCATCCCCGCAAGCAAGCATGCTATAGTCTGTTCTTATAAAAATCATTGACTCTTTTTCTGCTCGCTCTCTCAGGTTTTCTTGGTATCTTGGATTGTCAATCGCATCAAATCTAAGCCAACGCTCTTGGTGCTCAACAAAGTGAAGCAAGGCGAGATATGTTTGAACTTGTACAGGGATAGCACACTTGTGAATGTTAGTGGTGTGAGAAGAAAAACGGGATGAACGGCGAAGGTCCAGAATATGGAGCATGGAACTTCTGTTGTTTCCACTTAAGGCTGGACTTTTTTGTCAGAGATTAGAGTAAGGCGTCTATGCAGGATTCTGTGAGCGAGCATCAAGAACGATTATTTGTCTTGGAGGTCTTTCACAAGAAGATTTCAACTGATCAAGTACTGTTCTCAGGTAATGTCAAATAATTTTATTGCTTGCATCTATATTCTCTTCTCTTTTTCATTTTTCTTTCTACCAGGTCAATGTAGTGCAGTACGTAGGACTTTATAGAGATCGAGATCCTAGTCAAGAAAGAGTCATAGAACGCAATTTTGCTAGGGAAGGTATGTGAAGGAAATGAGGTCTTAAGGAATTTCAAGTTGGACATCAACGATTTTGTTGATAGGAAACACCAGGTATTTGATATCTTAATTTCTCTCTCTTTTTCCTTCTTAGATCCAATAAATCCAAGTTTATTGCTTAACGATGTTTAGTAAAAAAGAATATACAAATCAAAAGGGATATACTGCTGGGCTAGGGTTAGGGTTCTTGTAGCCATGGCAGTAGTCGCGAGCGATCTTCCGCCCGCGCTCAAATCGATCTTCGAGGAGGCAGCGCAGGCGGACGTGACGGATGGCGATGATCTCTACACCTGGTACAAATCCCTCCACCGCCGCCTCGAATTCGTGGACATCCAGGAGGAGTACATCAAGGACGAGCTCAAGAATCTCAAGCGGGAGCTCCTGCGCGCGCAGGAGGAGGTGAAGCGCATCCAGTCGGTGCCGCTCGTCATTGGTCAGTTCATCGAGATGGTAGATCAGAACAACGGTATCGTGGGATCGACCACGGGCTCCAATTACTACGTGAGGATCCTCAGCACTGTCAATCGCGAGCTCCTCAAGCCCTCGTCTTCGGTTGCCTTGCACCGCCATTCCAATGCGCTCGTCGACGTCCTTCCTCCAGAGGCGGATTCCAGCATTTCTCTCTTGACACAGTCGGAAAAGCCAGACGTCGCCTATAACGTAAGAATTTTTCTTTCTTCTTGCGACTCTTGAGGGCTCGTGTTCTTGGGTCTAAGCACTTCTTTCTTTGTTTCTTTCAGGATATTGGAGGCTGTGACATCCAGAAGCAAGAAATCCGCGAGGCCGTGGAGCTTCCTCTGACGCACCACGAGCTATACAAGCAGATTGGTATCGATCCACCTAGAGGTGTTTTACTTTATGGCCCTCCAGGCACTGGGAAAACCATGCTTGCAAAGGCCGTCGCGCACCACACCACTGCCGCTTTCATCCGCGTTGTGGGCTCGGAGTTCGTCCAGAAGTATCTTGGAGAGGTGTGGAACCTTTTCTTTTTTCTTTCTCTTCACGCTTGTCTTCTGTGGCACAGGGACCTCGAATGGTGCGTGATGTTTTCAGGCTGGCGAAAGAGAACGCACCGGCAATCATCTTTATCGATGAGATTGATGCCATTGCCACGGCTCGGTTTGATGCTCAAACTGGCGCTGACCGTGAAGTCCAGCGTATTCTGATGGAGCTGCTCAACCAGGTAAAAGGAACCAAGTAGAGTAAGCCGCTGACGTCCTTGTGCTTCTCAGATGGATGGTTTCGATCAAACCGTGAATGTGAAGGTTATCATGGCTACAAACCGTGCGGACACTTTGGATCCCGCGCTCTTGCGTCCGGGAAGACTTGACAGGAAGATTGAGTTCCCTCTGCCCGACAGGCGGCAAAAGCGGCTCGTTTTCCAGGTTTCTGTGCAGACGTTCTTGCGAAGAAAGCTTTCTTGACAGTGCTTAGTCCAGGTTTGCACGGCAAAGATGAATCTGAGCGATGAAGTGGATCTCGAGGACTATGTTTCTCGGCCTGATAAAATAAGCGCCGCCGAGGTAGAGAGCCGTTTGTCTTGGGCTTTACTCTGACGCATTTCCTTTATCCAGATTGCTGCGATATGTCAAGAGGCAGGCATGCATGCGGTGAGGAAGAATCGCTACGTTATTCTTCCCAAGGACTTTGAGAAGGGCTACAGGACCAACGTGAAAAAGTCGGACACCGATTTCGAGTTTTATAAGTAGCTTCCTGAACTATTATATTTAAGTTCACCCTTAATGTTTTAAAGTTTTAAAAATAGGAATTTAAAAATTCCTAGAACTATTCTAGGATATTCTTCTATTGTTTGTTTAACAAGTAATAGATCATATCCATCTATGATCAATTGTTTTTTGCTTCTATTGTGATCTTTTCCTCCTGCCATTTTCAGGGACTTTGATGTAGGTATTTCCAGCTTTGACAACCAGCAAGGACATCAAAGTCTTTCATTTCAAAACCACAACTTGATACCCAACTTATTTTGGTGCGAGAAACTGAAAAAAATAAGAACAAATTCATGCTTAGTGCTTAACTTTAGACAGACTCCCCTTTTACATCCTTTTAAATTTTTGCAGCTTCTCAAGTATTAGAAAAGCCTGTAGAATCAAGCCCATGCACATACTCATTCCTCCACATGATCCAGTCGCCCCACAAGTGATTTGTCGCTGTGCTTGGCCGAGATCGAGGTGCCAGGGTTTCGATTAGAAGTTTTACAATAGAGTGATCCAGGTGGCGGTATTGCAGCTTGCAAAATACGTGCATTTTTTTGTGACTCATTCTTTGATATTTCGGCCTCTTGATCCATAGCTTATGCGGTTTAGGATATTTCTAGGAAACTTACTTCTGTTTAGCAGCTTTTCTAGCTTCTTCCCTTGTTGCAAAATGTTTAAGATGCCTAATA